ATGAAATGCTAAGTTCCTAAGTGAATGCCTCCTTCACTTAAAGCATAATAAAGCAGGACACATGGAATGTTCCTAGAAAACCACAAGAATGGGCCAAAAGGACTTCCATCAGTGATATCTGCTTTTCATAGCAATGACATTTGGAAAAAGGCTATGATTAATTCCTTCCTTCAGTCAATATTTTTGGAATGTCTCTAGATATAAAGGTCATATTTTAAGGTCAGTTAAGCACACATCAATACTTTAATACTGCATTATTTTTTTTATACTCCTGTTTCAGTATTTTTATTAATAAAAATCTAACTGTATCTTTTGTGTTAATCCATAATTAGCAACAAAAACTACAACTGCAAAAAACTACCTCCGTGGCTTAAACAGGTGAGAGGTGTCTTTTTCTCACGTAACAGTATGGCTGGAGGAAGGCAGCCCAGGCTGGAGGAGCGACTCAGAGATATCCAGAAATCAGGCTCAATCTGTCTTCCTGCTCTCCTGTTTAAGGTGTGGGTCTGTCCAAATGACCACAGCATGGCTGCTGTGCATCCAGGAAAGAAGAAAGAGGCAAGGAAAACAGACTTTCTCTGACCCAGGCTTTATCCCAAAAGGGAGAGCCTCCATAGAGATTTGTGCCTGTATTTCATTGAGCAGAACAGAGTCACATGGCCTCCCCTAGCTGCAAGAGAATCTGGGAAGATAAAGACTATACTTTCCAATCTCTGTAACAGAGGCAAGCAAGGGATAAGGGTGTAGGATTGAGTGTCAAGTGAGCCAACCTATGACGCCTGCCATCATGACTTCTCACGGACATAACAATGAATGCAACTCACAGCTGCGTTCCTCCCCTGCAGCTTCTAAATGGTTTCACAACAACATACAACAATTATGAGGGCAAAATGCTTTCTAAATTATAAAATGCTTTGTGAGTGTTACCACAAAGTATATTTAAATGATTGAATTTTCAACTTCCAAGAAATTTTATTAAAATATTGCTCATCTCTTACTTTGATTCCATACTTGATATATTAGAAATAGATACTCTCAACCAACAAGTTGAGAATCTCTTTTCTTTCCTGTAGTCATTCATAATAATTGTAGGCTCTTGTTCTGGGTTGCCTTGGGTGAACATTTCCCTTTCTATCTATCTCCAGCTATTCTGTTGTTCTTGAATTTATCTCTTTGTATCTGAGAGTAGGAGCCGTACCTGAATTATTGAAAGGAGGAAATTGCCAATTCACCATCTGGCTGTGTATGCTTCTTCCTTTTTCTACTGCACATTTTGTCCCAGTGCTATTTATTGGGTTGAGTAGTTGCATCCAGACAGCTACATGCCAATCACGTGTACCCTGATTACTCATTATGAGCCCTAGGATACCATACAGCTCACTAATGAGCACATTATAATGCTGGCCAGTGCTAATTAGATGATAATCATGTGCACCGCTTTATTTACACTCTACCCATTTAAATTAATTGGGTATTTAATTGAACACAGTGTGAAATAAATTGGAATTGGATTTCAAAGTTCATTAAAGTTACTTTTGCCTACCATCTCTTACAGGCAGGTGAGATTATTCACTTGATGTGGAAATTCACAGCAAATAAAAATGGACATAATGCTTATTTTATAATGGTATACACGCACATATAAATGTATCTCAAAATATGTGTGGAAATAGCAACCAAATTTGCAATTTTTTAAATTTCCACTAACATCCTTATGTGACCTGATTACAGAGACATTCTGCATGCATAAGAGATATGAATAAATCCAGCCCTTAGTTGGAAATGTGAGGTGCGATCCTAAACCAACCTGATGAGAATGTTCTGATATTTTCTTAGGATAGGAAACTTACATTTAATTCATGAATAAATATGTGGCAAACTATACCTAATTAGGATCCTCTGTGTTTTCCTCTTTCAGGACATGATATCAAAATATTCCAGGATCTACATTTTCAAATGAGTGTATAATTGCCAAAAATTGCATGCATGAGTGCACCATTAAATTCAAAGTGTCTTTTCATTGAAATAATTTCCTAAAAGCACATGTAGAGTAGACCTAGAGTAATTATATGAAAAACAGTTTCTAGACAAAAGAATCTAGAGGCCAACTCTTCTACTTTTTTCTCAAATAGCATTTCTGGTTTGTGGGCATCTGCTCTCCTGCAGTTTTGAGATGCACCAAATGACTGAGGGTCTCTTCTCAAAATAAGTTGGAAAAATGTGCTGCTCCAATTACCCATATGAATTGTTCACAGAAAAAAATCATAGGGGCCGGCCCTGTGGCTGAGTGGTTAGGTGTAAGCACTCCGCTTCGGTGGCCCAGGGTTTCACTGGTTCGAATCCTGGGCACGGACATGGCACCGCTCATCAGACCATGCTGAGGCAGCATCCCGACATAGCGCAACCAGAGGGACCTACAGCTAGAATATACAACTATGTACTGGGGGGCTTTGGGGAGAAGAGGAAGAAGAAAAAAAAGAAGATCAGCAATAGTTGTTAGCTCAGGTGCCCATCTTTAAAAAAAAATCATAAATAATTCTTGTAAGTTAATTGGAACAAAACTTGTTTTGGGAAGAGGACCTCAGGGGGATTAGATAAAAGGGAAGTTTTTAAAGTTATATTGTCTTACACTAAACTATCATAGTTCTTTCTGACTGTCAACTCAAACAGGTGAATCAAGTAGAATGAATGATGTAAAGAGTTTTAACCACTCTTATAAGGCAAACATGATTCTCTTTGTAACTTCTGATATCATAATGTTTGATTCTACCAAGTTCTCTCCTTAGTCCAAATGGTATCATGACCTTTAGCCTAAAAAAATTTTGCAAAGTTTCCAAGTACAGTATAAGAGCATATTCTAAGGAGAAGCCAGACTCATGTTTCTATTAAGGCTCAAATCGTGGAGGGACAACTGAGACTCAGACCAGGAAATCCATGAACCTGGCTGCTTTAACCTTATCTGTCTGACATACAGCCTCTAGTCACTTGTAGCTACTGAGAACTTGACATGTGGCTAGTCTGAACTGAGCTGTGCTGTAAATATAAATACACATCAGATTTTGAATATTTAATATGATAAAGTAACGTAAAATATCTCAATAATTTTTATATTGATTACAAGTTGTGATGACAATATTTTGAATATATTGGGTTAACTGAAATATATTAACATTGATTTCCTTTGTCTAATGTGACCAGAAAATTTGAAATTACATATGTGGCTCACATTAGTGACCCATATTTCAATTAGAAGGCCCTGCTCTAACCTAATGGGTTAGTTATCTTGAGGCTGGCAAATTACAGACTACTTGCATGAATTTAAAATGATTATTCAACCAAGATGTTGAGCTACCCCTGTGTGCCAAGTACTTAATAAGGCACTAGGGATATTAACATGAACTAGATACAGTCCTTGCCCTCGAGGACCACAGGCATTTAGTATGTGCAGGGCGCTCTGGTCACAGAGTGGATGAATGGCTAGAAATAAAAGCTACCAAAATTTTGGTAGAAATCTTTCCAGACATTTAAGCCTACAGGTATGTACAAGCACACACACACACATATACACATAACAGATGTGTGAGATGTGTGTGTGTGTTTGTGTATGGATAGAGAGAGAAAGAGAGAGAGAGAGGGATAGATGGCATCATACTCCATGATAATCTAAAACTTGCTTTTTCTACACAACTTATCATGGACATTGTCCCACAAAAACAGAAAACATGGGTCAATATCATCATTTTATTGGCTTCATGATAAACATCATTGTATATATGTGCCAAACTAATTTTACCTTTTCCCCATCCTTTTATTCATGGACTTTTAGATTATTTCCAAGTTATTGTGAACAATGCTGGAAGAGACAACCATGCTCACTTTTGTGATTAGAAATTTAGAATAAACTATGAGAAATGGGATTCCTGGTGAATCTATTTCTGGATACTCTTCTCTTCCACTGATACATCTTTCAAATCTAGTTTCAGTGTCTACTGTTTCCTATTCTCCACATCCTCTCCAAAATTAGTTGCTTTTGTCTTGGTAATTATAGCCATTCTGACAGGTGTTAGGTGATATCTCATTGAAGTTTTGATTTGCATTTCCCTGATGATTAGCCTATCCCTTCATCCTTGAGTTAGAATGAGGTCCATATTATCCTGTTTCTTTGTTTACTTGTTTTGGGGAAACTCTCTTTCTGTGGCTTCCTGGGAAAAGCTGCATGGAGAGTAAAAGTTTTGAGACTTTCCAAAACTGAAAATTTGTTTAGACTTCTCTCATTCTTAAGACTAATTTGCTGAATATAGAATTCCAAGAGGGATATCTTTTCCCCTCAGAATTTTGAAGGCAAATCTTTGTCTCTTCTGACTTTTAGTGTCATTTTCACTAGGTCCTATGTCATTATGATTCTTTATTATATGTAACTGTCTCCCCCTCTCCTGGAAAATTGTAGTATCTTCCCCTTTTCCCCCAGTTATCTAAAATTGCATAATTGTGTGCCCAGGTAGGATCTTTGTTTATTTACTATATTTGACACGTGGTGAACTCTTTCAGGTTGGAAATTCATGGATGTCCAATTATATGAAATATTCTCGGACTGTTTAATAATCTCTTCCCCTCAGTTTTCTCTACGCTTTCTTTCTAGAACTGCTCTTAGATGATCATTGCACCTCCTGATTTGGTCTACATTTTTTCTTTTTTTCTACTTTTCATCTCTATCTTTTTATCCTATCTGCAGGAAAATTTCCCTAACTTTATCTTCTAATCTTTCTGTTTTTTTTCCCTTTGCGAACTTTCATTACCTGGGGTTATCAGAAGAGTTTGATCACAGCACAAACACACACTGAAAACATTAGAAATTACAGAAAGACTTGAGATAAGTGTCAGACAGAAAGATTAAGCAAGTCCCTGGGTCATCTGAGAAACATTAGCAATATGAAATCAAAGATATCAAATCTGTGTCAGGAATGAAAGATGCAAGATAAAAATGGAGACATTGGCACTCCTTGGTGTTGTAAAACAACTTGCAACTTTATTCTCATATTTTTGAAGTTGTAATTCTCCCTCTTGTCCCTGAGCCTCAAAAAGCAATCATTTGCCCAAATCATTTCAAGCCCTCTCCAGTCGACATTTTCCCTCTCATCAATAACTTCCAAGTAACTGATGTGAAAAATAGTTCTTATTCATTCCTTTTTCACACCCCACACATTTCATTCCAGGAAACTGGAGCCACTCAGCACAGAGCTTATGTTATTTCTCTTTATAATGCAAACTTAAACAAATGGATTTTCGTCTTTTTTCTTCAGTATTATAGGATGAGCATGTACTTACTGCAAAACTTAATTCCTTCTAGCTGCATCTTTATTCTACAACTTACTTGTCACTGCCATTTTCCATTACTTAACCAGAATGCATTCCTCCAACCTCTCCCTCCCAGACATGGCAACCAGCTACTCTTCTGATCTAACTGGTTAACCTGCTATACCATCTTTATGTCTATTTACCAGGAAACACTGGACCAGAGACATCAATAATACACCTCGATATACAACAGCTCAGGCTTAATTTGTAGGGAGAATTTCATTTGCTGGTCATGAGAAGAAAAAATGTATACTTTGAGTGGGCTTGGGAAGGAGATGACATAAGGAGAAAACATCTTGATGGCGGGACCACTTCTTGGGAACTGTCAATCCTCCTATTGAATTTTTCATTTCTGCTATCAAGAGCTCTTTTTTGTACGTTCATTTTTACGAACTCTTGTTTTTATTTAAATAGATGGGAATATCTTCTCTTATCTCATGGAGTAAATTTATCAGCACTATTTGAATGTTTTCCTAATCTTGCATTGTCTCTGTTACCTCTAATATCCTTTTTCCAAGGTGTTCTGTTGTCATTTTTGCTTTTTATGTTAAAATATTTCCTTGTTGTCTGGTCATCGTTGGCAGTCTGCTCCCATACAAGAGTGAGGCTCTGAAAAGCCAATGGCAGCTCTGAGTGAGTGGGTGCATGTTGTTGGCAGGTGGGCTTCACAGTAGGGTAATCTGACTGGGGAGTTTCTTTGGAGGATCTAGTTGGTCTCTTTCCTTGGAATAGCCAGTTTCCCAGAGAATAACACTTCAATCTCTTGTGAGAAGAGTGGGCGGGGAGCTGGAGATTTTTTCTGTTCACATATAGCTTTACATTCAATCCCGTCTCCTGTATGTTAGCTGCCCCTTCAACTGCGACTTGTGTCCCTAAGCATGAGCCTTTCTGTGAGCTTCTTCAGAGAGGGAATATCCAGTCTTCTGCTGGGATTGGCGGAGGGTAGCCATCGGCTGCAGAAGAGGGCTCCACACTTCTGTTTCTATGTGGGCTTTCAGCCCATTCTTCTGTCTTCAGTCCCATCTGACCTCCCCTCACCCTTACCAGAAAGATCCATTGTCTTTCCATTCTGAGCCTTTCTTGGGATCTGTGGTACAAAATGAGTTGTTCCTAGGCTTCCCCCACTAACATATTACATCTTTGTTTTCTCTCCTCTTTTAAATCCATTATCAGTTGTCCATTTGCTTTCTGGCTCCCAAAATATGTTGCTATCATCACTTTGTTTTCTTCATTCTTGTGAGTTTTATGCCTTCTGGAATTCTTTTAACGTCATTTAGTGGTGTCCTAAGGGAACAAGGACAAACCTTCTTCTGCCATGTTTAACTGGCTTTTTTGTATAACACTATATGAAGCTACACTAGGTAAAATGCACTGTGTTTTATTTCATAGATAGGATTTTGTAGAAACAAAGAACAGCACCCAATGTGGAAGGGTCGATGAGGAACACAAGGCCTGGGATAGAGTCCCCTGCTCCAGCCACACCTGCAGATTCTCGTCTAGTAAATGGTGACTTCACCACCCACACCCCACAGCCTGAACCTATAAATCAACACCTCTAACTGGTAAGCCCCTGCTAATACTTGCTCCTTTCTGCCTCCCTCAGCCTGAGAGCATCCAGTGTGTCAAAGACCTCCTTTCCCCATCCTCATCTTAGTGATGAATGAATCTGCTTTCACAGGCAAGAACACTTTTCAAGAAATACAGTTGGTCTTCAGTTTTCACATATGACCTTGGTCTAACTCAACAAACACCTGCTGAGTACCCATTATGGACCAAGTTCTGTGTACATTGAGGGTTCAAAAATACAAAGGGCAGTCCTTTGCCCTTGAGGAGTTCAAAGTCTCATTTACCCCAAGACTTCTTGCTAATTCCCATGTAGTAATTGGGACTGGCTCCTGCATGGAGAAAGTACTGGGTGATGGCTGAGCAGCTGCTTGACACTAGATTTTTACTCATGCTGATCCTAGTTTCTTTCATTTTCTATATATAGACACTGAAACTAAATTATTATTGAAGGTCACTAGAATTGAAGCGCACCAGAAATTAGCTTAGATCCTAGTGTACAACAATGTAAAGTAAAAGTAAAAGTAAAATATCCACATTTCTCCTTAACAACAGCAACAAAATAATCCATAGCACCCCTGTCATTGGTGCATCTTCTGTGCGTGAAGTTCTTGAGTCAGGTCAACTGATGGGGGCTCCTGTGGTGACAAGTTTGTAGTAGGCTTCTTTTTGGGCCATCAGTTCCTCGTGGGTCCCCTTTTCAATCACTATCCCCTGTGACATGACAGCAATGATATCCGAGTTCTGGATGGTGGACAAGCGATGGGCAATGACAATGCAGGTCCGACCTTCTCTGGCTTTGTCCAGGGCAATCTGCACTGTCTGTGAAGAGAAGACAGAAAGTTGATGAAAAGGCACATGATTGTTCCCAGGTCCACCGTTGCAAGAATTCAATTTAATACCACCTGAATAATAATGCTATACTCAGGCGTCAAACTCAAAGGCTTGACATGAGAGAGAGGACTAAATAAGTATTTGCTGAATGCAATGCATTAATGATCTAAATTGCAGTCCACAGGCTGAGAAATTTCAGTGAAGCAAGAATGAACCAAACCATGAGGTCACTACGTAATTTTACAATACTTGACCGTCCGGTTTGCTAAAATGAAAGCAAGGAAACAATGTAGGTTAGCAATTAAGTGGTCATTCCTGATACTGTTCTTCATTGAGGACATTTAGCTCCCTCCAAAATGGAATCCTGATTTTTAAGGAGTTAATTATAAGTGGTAAATTTCATAATGCTCAAATGCATTTCCTTTCATGCAAACTGCATATCAGATACTGCCTCTTTCTTTCCATTGCATGCTGTCTGCTCTGCCATGTAGCTTTAGAACTATAAGATACAAAATGCCTAACAGATGACCTGGACTATTTTACTTTACTTAAGAAAGCTAATTATTTGCTCTTGAAAAAAATGTCACCTAGCCTAGAGAATCTTAAAAACAGTTCTTGGGTCTGGCCCCATGGCCGAGTGGTTAAGTTCGTGCGCTCCGCTGTAGGCGGCCCAGTGTTTCGTTGGTTTGAATCCTGGGCGCGGACATGGCACTGCTCATCAAACCACGCTGAGGCAGCATCCCATATGCCACAACTAGAAGGACCCGCAACGAAGAATATACAACTATGTACCAGGGGGCTTTGGGGAGAAAAAGGAAAAGAAAAAAAAACCAATTCTTATTTTAAAGTTCATTTTTTTTAAATTTGAAACAATCCTATTTTAAATCACTTTCTCCAGATTGCTGTCTTTTGGTTCCACAAAGTATTGGCAATTCCTACTATTAATGAATTGGAAAATTGAAAATAGTGCCATTTTATAAGGATAAATCTTACAGCAAAAGAGTCATTTATAATATCTAAGACTTTAGAAAGTCAATACGTACCTTTTCACTTTCCGTGTCTAAGGCAGACGTAGCTTCATCCAGCAGCAAGATTTTAGGATCTCGTACAATGGCCCGAGCAATAGCAATGCGTTGTTTCTCCCCTCGAGAGAGCTGAGACCCCTGGGACCCAACATTAGTTTCATATTTCTGGAAAAAAGTATGGTTAAGTTTGAGAACCAGAAACAACCATGCTCCTATGCCATACGCAGCCCACATGAATGACCTCTCTGTGAATTTAAACAATTTGTTGTTTTTGAAATTGGAAGTAGTGAATGAGTCCATCTATAAAGGATGTCAAATCCATTTAGGAATACAAGAAAAATATGGAGTTTGTGACCTTTCATGTTTGGAAACGAGGGGACATTATAGCCCCTCTCTGCGTTTCTTTTAGGTTTATATTTTTAATCTCTTTCTCCCTGACTATGAGATCCTCCCTGATTCGAGATTCCCTGATTTCCAAATTCCTATGTGGAAGATCTTTCCAAGACATCATTCTGGAACACAAGCCTAGGTTCGAATCTCTACTCTGCTGCTCACTAGCTCTGTGATCATGAATAAATTATTATTTTATTATTTTAATAAATTAAAATTTATTTGAGCTGTAAACTCATCAGAAAACTGCAGATATTAATAACTAGTTCACATATTTGTTGTTTTAGATGGAATTATGAGGGAAAATCCCTAGCTAGATGCCTTGCATGGCTACATAAGTAATAGTTAACATTCAGGGAGTATTTACTATGCCTTAGGTATTGTGCTAACTATTCTAGCCAGATTACCATGGAATATTCCCAGAAATCATTTTCTCCCTATTTTCTAGATTGCAAAACTTTGGCACAGACAGGTAAGAAAATTGTGCGAAGACAAACGAATGTCAGCAAAGGTGAAATGTAAATCCAGGTGTGTCTAGCTTCTGAGCCCTTGCCCTTGACCTCCTCTACCTGCCTCCACAACAACGTCTGTTCCCTGCCCCTACCTCCCTTGGCTCCTGACGAACGCTCAACCAAGGCAGGTGAGACTCATGACATCCTACTTCATCCTTGTGGAGAAAAAGTGCTCAGTGAAGGCTATTATGGGTAAGTCCATATGAGAAAAAAAGCAATAAACCAACTCTAAGCCAGTGTCTTCCAGAAAAATGAGTATGTGCTCCACAAAGATTTTTGGAAGAAATCAGTTTTCCAGGGAACACACAGCTTTGCTTTTCACTCAGGATACAGCAAACAGGAATTTCCACATGCTTGTGGGTTAGGCTAACCAGATGAGAACTGGGCTAAGAGCCCAAGACTAAGGAGCCTTTTTGAAAAGAACAAAGAAAAAAGCCCACCACAAACACCACAAAATCTATAAACATGATCACTTACAAAAAAAAAAAAAGCAATTTTCCAGTGTTATTTAAAAGAAAGAAGTGGAAGAGGTGAAAGGTAATATTTGGCTCCTAAAATTCAGTTTCCATGTCTTAATTTTCCTTGTGATCAAGCACCAAGAGACACCCTTGGTGGATGACAAAAATGCAGAGTCAACATTGTGCTTGGTTCAGACTTGGCTCTGGAAAAGTGAGATGCACCAAGGCAGACGCAGCCTCCCCCACACGCACGGTCTAGGCTGCTAAGGAATGAAATAACGATGACGACAATAAGAACAGCCGCAGCTTTCTTCCTGTGGCTATTATGTATATTCTTTCATTTGAATGTTATTTTTTACATTTTGCAGATAATTGAGTCTCAGAAAAGATAAGCAATTGTCCCAAAGTTAGTAGGTAGGTTAGCAGGTAGTAAGTGGCAGATCTTGGATTCAAACCGAAGTTTGCTCCAAATCCCAGGATTCTTTTCCACTATGCTAGGCTGATGCTCAATGTAGTACTGCTTTACGTGCAAGTTCTATGCGTCTTTTGTGTCAGGTAATACAATATTTTCCAAAACTAAAGAGTATGTTGATGAAGGACTTTTATTTTGCTTAAAGACTGAGACAATCTCAGGCACTAGGAAATAAATTGTGTGGCCTTTGACTATGTCCTTGAGCCACAATCATAAGACCTTTTGGTCATTCTACTCTCTCCCTCCCCACCCCTCATAGAGAACGACTCTGACTTGGTACTCACCTCTGGGAGTGACATGACAAAGTCATGCAGCTGAGCCTGCTTTGCAGCTTCTATGACTTTTTCCATGGGAATATCTTTGGTGTTGTCCCCATACTTGATATTGTCCATTATGCTACAGGCAAACAACACCGGTTCCTGGGAAACAATTCCAATGTTCGAGCGGAGAAACTGGACATTCACTTTTTTGCTGTCATGCCCATCTATCATCTGCCAATAGAGGTGACAACCAGGGCATTTAGTTTTAGATTCCAGCAACCAGGAAACTTTATATTCTAGAGTTAGTGCTCTGCAGGACATTTGCTTTGCTTAAGAGACAACAATCCCAGAGCTTCTGGAAATAAATGATGTTGCCTTTGACCCCTGAAGGTGGTGTCTCTTGGGAGCGGTGTCGAAGTTATGATCAGATTATGGATGTGTTTGTTTCACAAACTCTAGCTCTACAGGTGGTACAAAGGACAAAGTCACTTGGGACAGTATTTAGTTAAAAAAACTTCCCCTTCTACTTCGTTGCAGCGCATCCTGTAAAGTAATGTAGAACTGCTCAATTCCGAGACTCCACGGGTTATGAAACAGGTTTTTCTGTATAAAGCTATGGGACAATATAAGAGTCAAACCTGTTTCCTTGATTTTACTGATACTAACCTCTCAATAATTGACACAATAGACCCAAGTAAGACAGCAGTACATTTATTCACTTAGTCAATCAACAAATATATATTGAATTACCTTCCACAAAGACACCATGCTAGGCAGTCTCTTGTCTACCATATGAAGAAAAAATAATCTCCGTTTTCTAGGGACTCATGGTCTAGTTAGGCAGTTAAGTACAGGAATTCAAATATCTACCATTTGAGCTGCTTAACTTAAAAACCCTAGAATAGTAAAGGTGCAGCATGTCTAAGATACTACTGTAAAGTATCGGCCCTATGATTTCAGAAAAAGATTATGTTCAATGATGTCAACATATTATGTTTTAGATAATTTCTCAGCAATGGAAAAAGCAAACACTATTAGAAAAAACGTAAGGCGTTCCTCAGTAACGATTAGCCCTTGCTCATCTTCCTCTACTCATTTTTCATAGTACTTATAGACGATGCGAAGCAAAATTTAATACTTAATTGAATACAGTCATGTGCCAAATCATGTTTCGGTCATTGATGGACCACATATATGACAGTGATCCCATAAGATCGGTACCATATAGCCTAGGTGTACAATAGGCTATACCATCTAGGTTTGTGTAAGTACACTCTGTGATGTTCACACAATGATGAAATCACCTAACAACACATTTCTCAGAACCTGTCCCTGTTGTTAAGTGACACACGATGTACTGGAGCAGTTTGCTAATTGTTGCACATGTGCTAGTATTTTAAGCTCCTGAAGACAGAAGACATGTTTCATGCTCCTTAGAATCTCCCACAGGGCCTAATGCAGTACTGCACATCACAGGTTCCAATCAAATGTCAAAAACGTTGAATGCCTGCATTTGGTAGCTTCCTTAAGAGGAAAGAGGATTTTTAAAAATTGCATAAAAGGTGGTATTTTCCTACTTAAAAATATTTGTAGAAATGTTTTACAATGCTATAACAAAATATATTGTATCTATGAAATGCAAAGAATCACCATGATTTCTTCATGGGCATTGCTTCCTACCTATGACTAGAACATTCACTGAGCACATTGAGAAAAGTGTACTTAATACATATGTTATTGTTGGAGACGTGAAACATGAAGGATTCAGGTCCCTGTGTGTCACGTGTTTCACAGTCTACCCAGGTGATAGACATGACAGATCTGACATTTTGGGAAACTGGACCCTCTCCTTTGCAGGGATCAGACCCCCATGTGCTTTCTAGGTTCATTAATCACCAAATACTTTCAAACAAATTAAAATCTTTAGACCTAAAATTAATAATAGAAGTGATCATAAATTACAGATCATCAACTTTTACTCCTTATTTTCATAATTTCCTGGATTCTACCAATAACTGTTTGCTCGTTTCCTTGCTTTGCTTTATAGAAGGGAATCTTTGCTTGTCTCTTTCAAGTTTCTCTCAGCTTTTCTCTTCATAGGGTTATCCATCCCCATTGCAGTGAAGATTATACTATTCAGAAAGGTCTTTTTCAAAATATTAGGATTAAACAATCATCAAGTATAGAGCAGAATAAAACATTTTCAGACCCATGCCTCTGAATCATTTCTTAGAAAACTACTTGTGGATGCACTCCAACAAAATGCGAGTGAAAGCCAAGAAAGAGAAAGATATGGGAACTAGGAAATAATGGATCTAATCCAAGAAAACATGGCAGGAAACTCACAGGGTGACAATTGTTCAGCAGGTGCAGGTTGTAATTAGTCCAGGCAGTGGCAGAAATAAGGGAAAGAAGCAGGTCTCTCAGAATAGGTAGCAAGATAGAGACAATGGAAGAACATAAAGATTTTATAAAAACAGAGAATGCAAGAAAAAAGAAAGTCTTTTAGAAAAACAAGAAAGAAAATGTAATGCTAATATACTTCACTACTTGACTATGGGATGAACAATATTTACGTAATCATAATAAAAGTTGTTAACTGATTTTCAACTTTTAGAATCAGCCTACAGTGAAAGCATGAAAGACAGTAAATGTTATAAACAGAATGTAAGCATTTTGTATTCTTGACAATATAAAAGTGCAGTTATTAGGATTTGAGAGGTAAAAGGAGAGAGGAAGAGGTGAAAATAAAGGTAGAATTGCTAATATTCTCATCTTAAAAAGTGAGAATTCAAGAGATGTTATTTATAGGTGTTAGAAGAGAAACAGAAGTGTGTTAGTTAAATTTACAACTAGAGGAAATGTAAAAAGTGATATATCTATAGTGGGAGGAGGCAGGTAAAAGGATAGGAGAGATGAGGGTCAGCTAAATTTCCATCTCGAGAATAAGTCAACAGAGAGTATAAATTTGTTAAATTGTGAAAGAGCAGTATACACATATTATTCAGAGACACTGAGATAATCACTGGGAGATCTAAAAACATCAAGAGGTTAAAAATAGTCTCCTTTGAGCAGAAAAATGGGGGGGGAGGGGTGGAAATGGTACAATAGGTGTTGCTTTTTATTACAAATCTTTCTTATTTTATTCTGCACTCCTCTGCATATATTATTTGGAAAGAAAGAAAAGACAAGAGAAAAGAAGAGAAAGAAATGCTGTAGAAATAAGCAATGAAGCAATCTACCAATTTTTCAAATATCTTTGCCAAGTTTTATGGCACATGACTACCGATTTGAGTTCCTTATATTATTTACATTTAAGCTTCTTGAATCAGGATTGTCTCAGATTTTTCCTACAAAAGCCTCTTTCTTGCTCGTTTATCATTGTGTTCCTTATCACCCCCACTTTTTCCGTTCCCAGTCATTAGTTTCCTGATTAGTCTGCACTTTCTGCTCCATTTACGGGCAAGTGAATGCTTCTGTTAAATACACATCTCCCAGCTTTGCAGTGTGCCCAGTTTTCTTTGCCTAACTGGTCAGCAAGCCATCTGGAACTGGGAAGAATATGATGTTAGAAATTGTGAGGTAGAATCAGGTCAACTAGCAAATGACTGAAACTGGAAAATATCCATGGCAAGCACTTTAGAATGAGTCCGGCAAGGCACAATCTTGAAGACCACTTTTAGGGGTTGGAGATACTCTGCAGAAAGCAAAACTCTCAAAAGTATTTGCATTCTTACCACCTTCCCTCTGTCAGGATCATAGAAACGTTCCAACAGTTGAATACTGGTGCTTTTGCCACATCCACTGCTTCCAACAAATGCCAGTGTTTGCCCTGGACTAACCGAGACTGAGAGACCATTCAGAACTTGCACATCAGGTCGAGAAGGATATGTAAATTTACAGTCAACAAAGTCAATCTGCCCCTGGAAGTTGTCCTGTGGATGGGAAGATTGGAATTACATATGACCCTACTAGAATCTAGAATACTGAAATTGCACCTAAATCTGAGTTTTAAATCCCTGCTTAAGATACTCTCAACACCATGCCTCCAAAGTGCAAAGTATAAAGACGGCGATTTAATGGAATGGTATTCTATTGCCTATTCTGGCAGGTGTGGAATAGAGGGAGGCTTGAGCAATGAAATTAAAGATATTTGATCTCTAATTCCTATTTTAACCTAAGGGGATTTCCTTGTCTTCCATTTGTTGACATTCTGAATGGAAGAAACTAGCTAGAAGATATGATTGCATCACAGAAGCAAGTAGCTGTTCAGACACCTACAGCTCTGCTCCCCCGAAGATTTGAAATGATAGCGTTACACTTGGAATGACTTAGAAAGTTTCTTGAGTCCTGTATTGCAAAGGTGAATCCCTTCAGTTGTACTCCTGGAATCATGAATTCCAGAAATAGATAGACATTCAATAGACCACACAGAGACTTTCCTTTTATTGAGCTGAAGGAGAAACAGGTCATTTGACCAATTTAAAAAGATTTGTGAATTGAATTTAGCTTTGCTAGGGTTTAGGTTTGTTTGGCTCTCTCGGACACACTGGGATATTAAAAACTAGGCAGGAAAGATTAAAAAACATGTGTGGGGACTATCACTTAGAAGAAAAGATATTTTGTTGAGATCAAATTAATTTTCTGGGAGTCCATATGAGCTCAAACTTGAACACAGATAATCATGGATTAAACCAATATTATTGGGCAGGAACAACTGGTTTTTCTACAGTCCATACGAGAACATCAGCAGAAAACATGGTGGTTGGTAGGTCTCAAAAGATGTCTAGCTTCATACATTCTGGAACCAAGTGTGTTTTTTTGTTTGTTTGTTTTTTGAGGAAGATTGACACTGAGCTAACTGCTGCCAATCCTCCTCTTTTCGCTGAGGAAGACTGGCCCTGAGCTAACATCCATGTCCATCTTCCTCTACTTTATATGTGGGACGCCTACCACAGCATGGTGTGCCAAGCGGTGCCATGTCCGCACCTGGGATCCGAACCTGAGAACCCCGGGCCTCCGAACTGGAACGTGTACACTTAACCTCTGCGCCACCAGGCTGGCCCCCAAGTGTGTTTTATATTACACGGAATTTAGCATTCACTGGATATCGTTGCCTTATTCAAATGCCAGCTTTATGAATAATTTTTAAAGCTAATTTACTTCATTCCTTTATCAATCTACTGCCTGTCCATTCTGAGTGTGTACGAATGAACCTATATACTGTAGGAATTTAGAAGCTAAGTGGTATTATGTGACCAGCCCCAGTGGCTGCTCTGCACACGCACACACGCACACACACACACACACACACACACAGTGCAACTCTCCCTCACTGTCCTCCTACCCCGACCTCAGTACTTACCCATTTTTCACCGGCATTGCTGTATACATTGATTGGCGGTTGTCGGTCCAGCAGTTTAAAAAAACGTGCAGCTGATACTTTAGCTTTGGCATAACTTGGGGTGTAAGAAGAGGCTCTTCCAAGAGCTGTTGCGCTCAACACAACTGAAGAGATCACCCTGCAAAGGGACAGACACCCAGGTGGAGAGGGGCGGGGTGTGGTTATGTGATGGGCTAAGAGGCAGGAGTTTGGAGCTCTAGCCCTGGTTCTGAGCAGCCTTGAGCAGGTCACCTTAAACTTGTCTGGGAGTGCTGGGTTGGAGAGATGAGCAGTTTTCAAAAGTTCTATGAACAAAGGGTGAGGGGAGGATTGAATAAGAGGGGCTCAGATGTCCAAACCCTGCTTCAACTACAATAGCCTCTTTTTTTAATTTGTTTGAGAAAAAAAGACTTCTTGGGAAAAAAAAAGGAGGGGGCTTAAAAGATGATTAAATTAGGGTGATTTTTTACAATGCTAACATTCTTTGAATCTATGATAAGTGTATAAAAGATAATGATTGGTGATAGAAATATCAACTCTGTACCAAACATGCATATCATTCATGCTTCAGTAATTGCCTGTATCCTTCTACTTGTCCTAGCCTCTAACTATATTCAACATGTGCATAATTAATGAGCAAATGAGTGAATGCATAAATGAATGATAAACATGATGAGAGAGAGTTCTGTTGCTGTATAGAATATGATGTGAAGGGCATCCTCCAAAGGTCTCCACCTGCACTGCGTGCGCATAGGACCTCACTCGGTGGTGGTGGGGGCAGTGTCTCTGTCTGTTTTACTGCTCAGTTCATAAGCAGGAGTTGTTTTAGGCCAGACTTGCAAACCCAAACATCTCCAGAAGCCCAGACCAAAGCTTAAAGCGATGAAAAACATCTGGAATGAAATGGGAAATGGTAGAAAGTGATATTTCAGTTTTTAGAGAGAAGCAGAAATTGGGAGTTTTCCGTAGTCTCCCAATCTTCACACGTTGGCAAATAATTCTTCAAAAATGTTTCATAACCGAAACAAGTAAACAGTTTGTGATTTCTGATTTGGGTTTGTGGCTCTAAATATGCAAAACTTTAGAAAAAAGACTTTCCTAAGTTGGGGTGGGTGTAGTGGGGCAGGAGAAAAAATGTCTTCATCTTTTTAGAAGAAAGATGGAAAGTAAGAAGACAGAATTCATGGCTTGAGAATGAACCCAAAAGAATAGATTTCTGTTGGGACCACTTTTCCTAATGCCCTCCAAAGCTTTCTCAGACCATCTCCTCCTCACCCCTCCACCATCCCCACTCCACCACACCACACCCATATACATGTGCACCCAGTCCTTTGGCACCCTGACACCCTACTTCTCTCACCTCTGGAGCTCAAAGCTAATTTTATTAGAAGAACAGCCTCCAGCTATAAGAAAGGAACATAATTCCCCTGTAGTGGCCTTTGCTGTCTCTACCTAGGAGAAGTCAGCTGGAAACATGCCCTCTTTGCAAGAAGTATAATTCAAATAAGATAGTTCTATGAACCATCTCATTCAAGGCTTCTAGATTTTTTTCAGCATTTAACCAGTAAGGTAGATTGTCAAAATGGTTAATTAATCCTATTACTCTGTACACACCCCTTTGCAATATCACTTTTTTACTTCTCTGTGATATTGAGATTTATAATAAGAAAGATATATTTGGTCTTCAGTACCCATTCCTAGCACGGAGCTCCTAAACCTTAGGAATTTCATAAATTTGGAGAATGAGCAAGGTGTCTTCTTTTATGTTAATGAAGTGACCTTTGGAAAGAGGGTAGGCAACCTAAGGATGGGAGCCTGTTGCCAGGGGAAGCAGCCATATGATTAGAGGGGTGGAACTTTCAGTCCCACCCCCACCTCCAGGGAAGAATAGGGTGTCTGAGGGGTCTGAACTGGGTAGGGTGGGGAGTCTTGTAGGACTGGGCCCTCAATCTGTAGGATCTGATGCTATCTCCAGGTAGATGGTGTCAAAATTAAGTTGACTTGTAGGAGATCCATCAGGTGTCAGAAGTGTTGTGTGATAGCCGTGTGAGAGTAAAGGAGAAATGCACATCAGATGCTTTCATCAAAAGGTGGATTCCATTTCTCTATTCTTTAAATCTGGGCTTGGTAGTATGACTTTCTTTGGCCAAAGAGATATTAGAAAATGTGATGCATGCAGAGACTTGAAAAGTGCTTGCACATGGGGCTTGCTCTCTGTTACATTTGGAACTCTGAGGACATAATGTGAAGAAAACAAGTTCAGGTGAGCTGGAGAAGCCACATGGGGACAGAAGCCCCTCAGAAGCCTGCCTGAGTTGGCCCAGTCCAGACGAACTATGCTGACAACTCACAGACTCTTCAGAGATAATAAATCCCAGCTGTTTAAGACACCAAGTGTGGTATGGTTTGTTAAGCAGCAAAAGCTAACTGATAGAACCAGGCTATTTCTCCCTAGAGTGTTGATCTCTTATGATCTTGGCTGGACAGACCTCACCTGAACACATAGCTGAAATGGAGACCCTCATTGAGAATTAAGTAGCCTCCATATCTGTAGGAAGCAGAATTCGCAACAAACACTATGCATTGGGAAAAACCAAAGCAGAATCCATAAATATTCGCTTTTCGAATAGCTGTCTTGAATGGCTTCTCCAGCTCAGTCTCAAAGGCTCCAATAAACTGCCTCTCCTTTCCAATTCCAGCAACAGTGCGGATATTACTGAGGGCTTCACTCGTAATCTGGAGAATGAAAAAGAATCTTAGGTCGAAAAAAGCAGAAATGACTACTTTTGTGACATGTCAGCTGTTAAATGATTAGATCTGGAGCAAATGGCAGAATGTGGTGCAAATCAGAGAAGCAGGCATCATCTGGGAACACAACGAAGTTGCTGGTGATCAACCCAACTGCACTATGAGTCAGTTAAACTCAAGTTCTACTTAATACTAACATGGCTTTGTTGCCTCCACTTGTTGTAGAAGAGAGAAGGGAGAACAAGGTACATGTGGTTGTCCTTAAAAGCTTTTTAGCTTCTTTCTGAATTCATTTGGAATATCTAAAATAGTTTCTTTAGATATCTTCTGAGACAAAAGATATTTAATAATATAAATTTAAAATATTATATGATGTACACCTGAAAGTTATATAATGTTATAATCCAATGTTACTGCTATAAAAACAAAAATTAAAATTAATAAATTAATAAATTAATAAAATAGATTCTATTTTCTTAAAAAATTAATCTGACAAATATTATATGAGATAAATTAAAATTAAGTATAAGGTTTATCTTTTAGTCTATACTATGAATTTGTGTATTTGTTTCAATGCACACTCTAGGGTAAATAATTGCTGTTTCTCAATTAGGATCCTATCCTAATAAAAGCACAAAGGTGGGCTACTTCCTACCATTGGCATATGAAATCCTTTTGGCTTCTGCCTACTTTGGCAGTGTTCACATTCCCTCTCTTAAAGGAGACAAAACTTAGATTATAGTAAATTTGTTAAAAGAGTGAAGGTGTACATACATGTGTGTGCATGGTTTCTTATACCTAATAAATGTCTGTGCCACCATCCCCTCGTTTATCCCTGGTAACTAGATAGTAAGTAGAACATACTTTTAAAAGTGCATTTGGAATCTAAAACCTAAGTGTATTTGAAACCTAAACTGTCCTTCATGATTCTATTTAGGAAAGATATTTGCCACAAGTCTAGCAGATACTAAAGTGTGAAGATTAAAAGTGTATGTCATTACAAAGGTGATGGTTTCTTTCTGTGTGGCCAATATGACCTGGGGAAATCATTAAGCTGAAAATGCCAAATAGACAGAAAACTGAACTATCCACTCTTGCAAATGAAAAGACACCAAATTGGGATATGGAAAAAATAACTATTTGAGTAGAAATTGAACACATCACTCTCTGTATTTTCTCCACTAGCTGTCCACAGCTACTCAAACTCATAGCCTTATAGCTTTATTGTCACAGCCTTTGGGTGGAGGCACATATGAAACGGGCTGGTGGGAGGTCGCTAATCATGGATGTTTGTAGGCTAACAGCTTCCTTAAGTCTGTTTGTACTACTCATTCTTAACAGTTTGTCTGACAGCCACTCAACCATAATAGTCTGAAAATTGGGTCTAAGATTACCTGTCCCGCCATCTCCAGAGCCTGCTTGTCTTGAGAGGCAAATCCTGTCAACATTCTGGTCTGTACAGCTCCCGATAAAGCCAAGAAAGGGAAAAAGCACACTATGACCAGGCTTAGCTTCCAGCTAAAGGAGAAAGCAATGATCATGGCCACAGTGATGTTAGTGAAGGAATTGACCATCATCCCAATTTGTGAGCCGGCAGCCTGCAAAGCAAAAGCAATGAGCCAATCTCAGACACACAGTCTCTTTTACCAAGTACTGTTATGTGAAAAGGCTATTTTATACCAAAAAGGTAGATTTTTAAAAATTATTGTGATAAAATATATAGAACATAATGTATATCATTGTAGCCATTCATAAGTGTACAATTCAGTAGCATTAAATACATTCACAGTGTTGTGTAACGATCACCACCACCTATACCCAAAACTTTTTCATTGTCCCCAACCAAAACTCTTGTACCCATTAAATAATAACCCCCCTTCATCCTCTCCCCAGCCCCTGGTAACCTATATTCTACTTTCTATCTCTATGAAAATTTGCTTATTCTAGGTACCTTATATAAGTGGAATCATACGATATCCTTCTGTGTCTAGCTTATTTTACTGAGCATAAAGTTTTCAAGGTCCATCCATGTTTTAGCACGTTTCAGAATTTCATTCCTTTTAAAGTTAAATAATATTCCATTGTATGTACATACCACATGTGGCTTTTATTCACTCATCTGTTGATGAACACTTGGGTCGTTTTCACCTTTTGGCCATAATGAATAATGCTGTTATGAACACTGGTATACAAATATCTGTTTGTGTTCCTGCTTTCAATTCTTTTGGGTATATACCTAGGAATGGAATTACTGGGTCATATGGTAGTTCTATGTTTAAAGAGGTAGGTTCTTTTTCTATTTTTTAAAATTTCATTTATTTATTTATTTATTTTGCTAAGGAAGATTCACCCAGAGCTAACATCTGTGCCAATCTTCCTCTATTTTGTATGTGGGTCACGACCAAAGCATGGCTGCCAGTGAGTGATGTAGCTCCGCACCTGGGAACCAAACCCAGGCTGCCGAAACAGAGCATGCTGAACTTAACCACTAGGCCACAGGCCCGGCTCCTAAAAAGGTAGGTTCTTTTAAATAATGAACTCCTATAATGCATTTGAAGGCTGGATTAATGAAAGTCCGTTTTATTCACAGCTTCTTGGGAGCTCATCTAGTGACTAATCTCATTTCATGAGTGTCAGAGCTAGAGAAGTCAGTCTGAGATTAATTCAGCCCTAAGCATGGGCTGCCCATGTGTCAGGTACCTATGCACTTGGCTTGCTTGAAAATGCCCAGGCATTGGGCTTATGGTAATATTTCTGATTATTCAGTGAAGATTTATGCTTGCTCTATAGTTAGAGTTTTGAAATTCATACAAGACTGTTATGAGACACTACATTGCTTCTCGTTGAACTTAGCCTACTCACTGGTACAAAGTTACATGCTGACTTAATACACAACTGTTTAGTCAACATAGATGGACAAAATGGATTCAGTCCCAATGTAGGTGGATATCAGACCACTGTGGTAATTATTATCTATACTAATCAAAAATATTCGATGATTCCAAGTCTTCATTTCAGTTGCAGCTATGCAGATGTGACCAAAGGTTGATGCCTTGTGAGTAGAAAACACTTCGATGGTTACAACTAGAGGGCTACTTGTCAAAATTGTAGAGACTTTAACGTTGTTTAAGACAAAGAAGATAAAACAACCAAAGGTAAGGTGTTAGGTAATCACCAGTGCCAAGGCAGTGCTGTTCAAGAAGAATCTGCAGTTTCACACTGTATTGAAGACTCAAATGGAACAGGAACCCTGTGGTCCAAAGAATTCCCATGTGTTGGTACTAACCCCCTTGAGGACAGGAGTAAAAAGCTAAATTAAGAATTTACTTGTACGCCCATGTTCATAGCAGCATTATCCACAATAACCAAAAGGTGGAAGCAACCCAAGTGCCCATCTACAGCAGAATGGATAAACAAAATGTGGTCTGTACACACAATGGTATATCATTCAGCCTTAAAAAGGAAGTGAAATTCTGACACATTCTATAACCATGGATGAACTCTGTAAACATTAAGCTAAGTGAAACAGGCCAGACACAAAGGGACAAACATTGTATAATTCTGCTTATATGAGGTTCCTGGAATAGTCAAATCCATGGAGACAGAGTAGAATGGTAGTTATGAGGGGCTGGGGAAAGGGAGCAATAGGAAGTTACTGTTTAATGGGTACAGAGTGTCTATTTGGGATGATGGAAAAGTTCTGGATATGGATAGTGGTAATGGTTGCCTAACAATGTGAAAGTACTTAATGACAGAATTATACACTTAAAAATGGCTGAAACAGTAAATTTTGTTTTACCACAATTTTTTCTTTAAAGAATTTCTGGTTGGCAAGGACTGTCAGGCATTTCTTGAATGTCAGGCAGTATTTGAAAAACAGCTGTGCAGTTATTCTTTGGGATATCATTATTTTGTTTTCTTTTACATTTTATTTGATTGATAACTTAAAACCATTTTTATTAGTTAATTTCTGTTCTCTTATCAATTTCAGGAGCACTACACATATTAGAGTTATTAAGTATATTAATTCTTGTTACAAATGTTTTCTTAGTTTATCATTTGTCTATACAAAAGTTTTACATTTTTATGTTCTGACAAGTCTGCTTTATGGTTTTCTGTCTTGCTTAAGAGAATCTCCTCTATTCCTACAATTACTGCTCTACTCAAAAGTGTTTGTAAGTTCTAGTAATGAAATAAACAAGCAAATAAAATAATTGGTATAAATATTGAATAAGAAAGGAAGAGATAAAATTATCTTTGCACATAATTTTTGCATATAAAAGAACCAGACTATGTAAATTTTTAAAAAAATTCTAATAAGAGAATTTGAAAAAAGTGGACAGCTATAAGATAAATATGCAAAAACTAATAGCTTTAGTCTCAACCTACAAGAAAAATAGAATTGAGCAAAATATCCCATTCAAAATAGCAAAAAAAAAAAACCCATAAGAAAAAATGAACAAGATAGAGGGATATATTAATAAAACTGTAAATCTTGCTAAAAACCAAAGAGTCCTGTTTGTATGTCTCTCTCAGAAACTTTTAATATCCCCACAAGAGCAATCCATGGGTGTGTTTAATCAGCATCAAAATGAAATTTTTGAAGAAGCGAAGATTATTTTTAAGTACATTTAGAATAATTAATGTCCAGGAATAGATAAAAGAAGGGGAAAAGTTTGAAGGGGAAAGTTATTGTGAGAGGAATCTGCCTTACCGGATAATAAAAGCTTATCATAAAGCCACAGTAATTAAAACTGTAAGATTCTGACATAGAATAAATGAACTTGATCAATGAAAGAGAATAGAGAACCCCCAAATAGTTCTAAGTGTACATTGGAAGTTGATATTCACTACAGGCAGTAGGATTTCACATCAGTGGAAAATGGAACCTGTATTAAATCCTTTTGGAATGTTGTCTATCCCGCTTGAGGGAAAAAAAAGCCAAATTTCTACCTTATACCAATCTTAAGATAAATTTGACCTGCATTAGCTACCTCACTTAAACAGCAACTACAACAAAAATATTAGAAAACCTCTTAGAAACTTTTGTTTTTTAAAGGGTTAGTAAAATTTTTGTAAGATGATTAGATGCTACTCTCCAAATTCTGGTTCTAGTGAAGAACCTGAAAAACCCCGTTGCAGACTGAAGGATGAAAAAATAGAAGAAATAAGATTATGGCTTATTTGTTTAACCTAAGTTCAAGAGTTAGGTGAACTGGACACTGGAATATTCAGACAATGAAAGTGAAATTGATACATTTCTTACACCATATGCAAAAATAAACTCAAAATGGATTAACGACTTAAATGTAAGACTAGAAACCATAAAACTCCTAGAATAAAATATAGGCAGTAAACTCTTTGACACTGGTCTTAGAAAAATTTTTTGGGATCTGTCTTCTCAGGCAAGCGCAAATAAAGCAAAAAAAACAAATGGGACGACATCAAACTGAAAAGCTTTGCACAGTGAAGGAAACCATCAACAAGTGAAAAGGCTACCTACTGAATGGAAGAAGATATTTGCAAACAATACATCCAATCAGGGATTATATCCAAAATATATAAAGATATTTGCAAATGATACATCCAATCAGGGATTATATCCAAAATATATAAAGAACTCATACAACTCAATATCAAAAATTAAACAATCCTATTAAAAAATAGGCAGAGAGGGGTTGGCCTGGTGGCATAGTGGTTAAGTTCACACACTCCACTTGGGCGGCCCAGAGTTCACAGATTTGGATCTTGGTCACAGACCTACACACTGCTCATCAAGACATGCTATGGAGGCATCCCACATATAAAAAAGAGAAAGATTGGCAATAGATATTAGCTCAGGGCCAATCTTCCTCACTAAAAAGAAAAACAAAAGGGCAGAGAACCTGAAGAGACATATTTCCAAAGAAGACATAAGATGGCCAACAGACACATGAAAAAATGGTGGACATCAGTAACAATAAAAATCTCAATGAGACATCACCCTCACACTTGTCAGAATGACTATCATCAAAAAGACAACAAATAAGAGTTGACGAGGATGTGGCAAAAAGGGAACCCTCATACAATGTTTGTTCAGCCACTATAAAAAACAGTATGGAGGTTCCTCAAAAAATTAAAAATAGAACAACCATACAATTCAGCAATTCTACCTCTGGGTATTTAGCCAAAGAAAACAAAAACACTACTTTGAAAAGATATATGCACCCCCATGTTCATTGCAGCATTATTTAGAATAGCTAAGATACGGAAGCAACCTAAGTAAGTGCCCATTGATGGATGAATGGATGAAAAGATGTGGTATCTATATATACAGTGAAATATTACCCAGCCATAAAAAAGAATGAAATCTTGCCACTTGTGACAACTTGGATGGACCCAGAGGGTATTATACTAAGCAAAATAAGTCAGACAGAGAAAGACAAATACGATATGATTTCACTTATTTGTGGAACCTAAAAAACAAAACAAATGAACACAAAACAGAACTGAAACAGACTCACAGATACAGAGAACAAACTGGGGTGGCCAGAAGGGAAGGAGGTAAGGGGCTGGGCAAAATAGGTGAAGGGGATTAAGAGGTACAAACTTCCAGTTATAAAATAAATAAGTCACAAGGATGTAATGTACAACATGTGGGAATATAGTCAATAATATTATAATAACTTTCTATGGTTACTAGACTTATCATGGAGATTATTTCGTAATGTTTAAAAATGCAGAATCCACTATGTTGTATACCTGAAGCCAACATAATATTGTATACTTCAATAACAAATAATAATCCTAAAATAAAATAATAAAAAAGAAAGTGAAATTGGCACAAACTTTCTTTAAGCAGTAAGACAATGCATAGTAAAACCCTTCAAAATGATTACACGTTTTGATCCAGTGATTACATTTTGAGAACTAAAGAAATAATCAAGGATGTTCCAAGCTTGATGTAAAGTGATACAAATTGCTTGGCGGGCTGGGCAACAGGGAAAAACATAAATAGGCAATTCTTTAAGAAATGGTGATACATTAACATGACGAATTATTCAGTCATTAAAAATCTATTATAGAAAAATATTTAATGACCAAAATATGCTCACATCAGATTCTTTTAAGGGAAAAAAAGAAAGATTACAAAACAATAGGTAGAGTGTCACCCAAAGTCTGTGGGAAGCACATGTGTACATAGAAAAAACCTAGAAGGCTGGAAAGTAAAATATTTACAGGGATTTTCCTCTGAGTGAGAGGGTTCCACGTGCCTTTGGAATTCTCCCATACCATCGGCCGCATTTTTGGTGGAGCTGGCTAGGAGTCAAGACACGGCTCAGCACTATCAGTCTGGAGAGTTTTTTTCTTCCATTAACCTCCCAAACAAACCACGATTTTTCTTTTTTCCTTTTTTTTTTTTCATTCTCATAGAAAATGAGTAGAGGTGTTAGGAGGCAAACTTGATTCTCATCACTTTAATCCAAGTGCCTGTTTTTATCAAGGTGTAACCTCATCTTATACATGTGTGTAGGTCCCTTGAACAAGGCTGCAGTTTCTGGGGATTAGAAATCACAGCTTTGCCTGTTGACAGGGGCTCTCACAGAGGCAGCTCAGAGTAGCTTCTGCTTTCCTAAGACTAACTCTGCCCTGGGCACCTGTGTAAGGAGGCTTTTGTCCCACACACTCTTTGCCTCCACCCCCTGGGGGATGCTATTAAGTCTTGTGGAATCTGAGCCTCTGGGCCTGAAAACCATCTGAGGAATGAGTCTCAGGGAAGTTCTTCTCAGTTGCTAGACTCAGAGGAAATCCAAAACCCTGACAGAATTTTGACTCCTGATTCTGAGACCTGCCGAGGAGACGCTGTGCTTTAGCTGCTATTTGTCAGCTCTGGAAATGGGGGCCATGCGGCTCGAGGGTATCTCAAGCCAGCAAGTTCCTATTCTATAGAAAATACATAGATGGTTGTCAGAAAACTGGAAGGAAAGAAGGTCTACTTAACGCCCCTGGTTTCCCCCAGAGCTCACCCCTTGAACTTGAGAAGCGTCTGTAGCAAGCTTTGTGGTTAGCGCTCCAGGGCTATTTCTGAGGTCATCAAACCAGCCAATGTCTTGCCCCAATATTGCCCTGAAACCAAATTTGCGTAGCCTTTTTGTGAGGAGCTCTCCAGATTTAGCAAAAGCATACCCCTAAAACAGAAAGGAGTCTTTAGTGATATTTTTAACATGAAAAGAGGAGAAATAGCTAAATTACTAACTAAAAAATAAAATTCCTTACCTGCAGAAATTGAGTGCAAAGGGATACACAGCCCATTGCTACAAAGAGCAGGCACACACCATTGATCTGTGACCTTTGTTCTTCTTTATCAGGAAGTGAAAAAGTCTTTGCAAGATGGTGAGCAAGGAAATAACTTTATTATCAAAAATAATACCGAAAGAAACAAATTCAAATGTTTAAAAGAAATTTCTCTTAAGCCTTGGGTTAAAAACAGTTTCACTTTAAACAAACTAGTAATTAAACCAAAGTTAACTGGGAATTTGTGCATTTTAATTCCGTATGGGGAAGGAAGCCTGGTGAATGAAAAGCCATAGTTAGGGTTTTTGTCTTGTTTCTTTGCCTGATGTAGGCAGTTGTTTTGGTTTTTCTTTGATAGAGATGAAAAATATAATGAAATGCTTCAAGTCCTTTATGTAATAAGGTGAAGAAAAAACAGGAAGGAAGGAAAGGAGGAAGGAAACAGGGAAGAAGGAAGGAAGGAAGGAAGAAAGAAAGAATGGAAGGGAGGGAGGAAGAAAGGTGAGGAAGATACTTGAGAATCTGAGAATGTTATCTGGGACAAAATTCAAAGTATTGTTACGACCTCTGTCTTTCTCAAATAATAGACGCAATAAAGATGATTTTCGCACTCAGGTATCTTACCTGTTATAAGTTTTATAGATTATATGTATACAAATAATACCATCGTTAAAGAAGCAACTAGCTATCAGGACACTGACAAGTTTGTATCCATCTGAGACTGAGGTTGTTGCCTCGACATCACTAGAAGCTGAAAAAGTTCCCCCTCAAAACTCATGGAAATTGAGGGTGTTTTGTTATTTTTTAGTTTATAGTAAGTAGTAAGCTATACTCATAAGCATATTGTGAACTGTCAGCCACGTGCTCCAGTAACTGACTGGGGACCACGCAGTTGCAGGAAGAGAATGGGAAGAACAGCCGCATATTCTACCGACATTGACCTACAGTGACACAGATTTTAGGTACAATAAAACCTTCCCAATTCAGACTAAGGGAGGGAACTGTGAGAGTTCAGAAAAAGTATGCATTAGAGAGCTGTACAATAAATCCCTATTTATTGTTCTGAATTAATTTGAGTAACTAAAACAAGGCCAACAAGCAGTTGCTCAAAAAAATCCCATTTATTCAATAAACATTCATCGAGTACCTGCCATACGCCAAATAAATCTCCTGAAAGCATTGTGCACCATTCCACTGACAAACGCTTTTTTGTGAAGCAAAAATAACCTGTTCAAATGATCACAAATTCCAAAAGTGGTGGGAGGGGTTCTACAGTCATGAGATCTACTGGTTTCTAGGACAAGAGTTTCCAGGGCCTTCATGGTTCTTAACACAGAGGAAAGTGGGCTCAGAAGTCACCACAGTCATTCTTCCCAGCATGGGATAACTCGCGTGTTTAGAGTTTGCAAATTCAGGGGTTTAAAGACATATTTCAGTTTGGTTCTAAATATCCCTATACAAATCTCCTGCAGCCCCAAGCTGCGATGTGACAAGTCCCCTTCCTCCCTACAGGTCTCCTATCATAATCCTGGACTGTAGAACCACAGATTAGCCAGCTTAACTCATTTTACAGACGGAAAACTAAAGCCCAAAACATTGAGTCTTCTGTCCAAGTTCATTTAGCTAGTAGTTATTATTGGATAAGGAAATGCCTATTTTTCAGATTCCAGTGCAGTGGTTTTCTTCTGGACACGTTCTCCTGGTTCTTGGTGTTACCCATCTTCTCAGTGTTAAAAAAGAATGTGTGGCTAATGTTAAACCCACACAACTGTCCAGTTCAAGATTGGGCATCTATCTATCCATAATCTTTTTTCACAAAATTCTCCTCCATGAGTTCTTTGTACATTCTTGTTGAAACGCAACCCAATGGGCTGCCCGTCCATAGGTTCCTCTGTTCTTAGACTAGCTGTGGTTTGAGCATCCATCTGTGCCATTTTTATAATGCTAAATGTGCCTAAGGATAAAACGAACATTCAAGAAACTCTTAATATTTACCAGACGCCAAATGTGTCACTTAATTTAATTTGAGAGAATTTCCTTAAATTAGGATCCTTAAAACAACCCAGTGAGGTAGATTTCCTTGCTCCATATTCTAGATGAGGAAACTAAGGCTCATCAAGGAGAAGCCCCTTGCCCAAATGCACACAGAGAGTACAGAGCAGAAACTTATTACAAATGCAGGGCTGGCTGACTCCAAAGTTCATGCTTTTTCCCAGCATGCTACATCCAAATTGCTGTGCTTGGAACATTTGGCACATTTTCCAAGTCAAAGAGACCCAGGGAAAGCGAATCAGATAAATTATGCCTTACATGTATATTAAGACTTCACTAGATTAGCAACCAGGTTTTTAACAATGCCCAATCATTTGCTGGGTCCGCGTTCCCAAATGTGGTCTCAAAACACCAAATGTGAATATTGTGCCCTTTAGATATGTCAGAATGAAAATAGCACAATTAAAAACAGACTATTATCCGATTCGTGATTACACCCTATGAGATGAAAGCATCGTGAATCTGCTGATGAATATGTGATAATTATGCTAAGAGACAAACAGAAACAATCTTCTTTATCAGAGAGAAAAAAATAGTAGTTTGTTTAGGTTCATTCTCTTAGCAAATCCAACCATGTGAGAACAGTATCCAGGAGCAAACTTTGGATCTCACCACTAGATTCAGCTACTCTGGTCCTGCAGCCCTTAAGTGAAAAGCTCCATTGCTCGGGCTAAGTCCTTCCTAGGACTTCTGGTGGTGATCAGAAGAATTGCCCAGAATACTCTCACCACCAGTATCTGGTGGGTGCTCTAGGAAGGCAGGGGTTATTGATGAATCAAGTGTTTTCTGACTTAGCCATTTCATAGACCACTTAAGCTGGACGTTGTCTTAGAAATCATCTTTGTCAATCCTTCATGTTATAATTGAGGGAACCGAGGCCCAGAGAAGTGGCATGAGGTGACCTCAGGGCATACAGTACTTGATAAGTAACCAGCACAGCCAGTTTCAGAGTAAAGGTCTCCTGACAGGGAACCCAGGACTTTTTCCACAGCAGCTCATATAGGGTTTAGGTGAAGTTAGATGAGTATATTTCTTAGTCCGCTTTTATAAGAGAGAAATGATCAGCAAAGATGCTGACAACCTGGATTTATTTTAAAGGCAAACATCTAGAGCACAGTCTTGGGTCTTTATGGATTCAACTCTATCCCCCACACCTTCTACAGCTACATCAATGCTCAGTGAGATGCATTTCCAGAGCCTCTCCCTGCTAGAATGTCAGCTTTATGAGGGCAGGAAGGGGCTCTGGTTTTCTCCTTCACAACTCTGACCCCAACATCAGCAACAGTGTCTGGTAAACAATAAATGATCAATAAATATTTGTTGAACGATGAGTGGATTTTTCTGTTTACTCTCTGTCTTCCTCATGGACCTGAATCTCCATTAGGGAAGGCACCATGACTGATACTGCCCTCCCAAATTCCTAGCACTGCATCTAGGGGAGATAATCAACAAATATCTGTTGAATGAATAAACGACATTTCTATTATATTTAGTATATTGTAATTACTAGGCATTAAGAGATATAAATTATTTCAAATATTTTCAGCATAAAATTTTTCACATAACCAGAAATTCAATTTACCAGAGTTGAAGGTCCCTATGTTTCCAATTTCCTACCTCCCTGAAATTAACATGATTTCCTCACTCACCACAAGGGGGCAGTGTGAAGACTGAAGCCGTGGCTGGAGCCTTCCCCACAAAATTGATTGATTGTGTTTGCAGACTATCCGCCTCTTTCTTTACAACCTATGCCTGTGGGAACATTTTTCTGGTCAGGACCTCTACCAGAGAGGCGGCAAGAGAGAGATGTAGAAGGGGAAACTAAACCTTAGGACTCTTACTAAGTTCTGACAGTGTGTCATGCTGGCAAATCCTTTAGGCTAGGCTTCAGAAAACTGGGTTCTAGTCCTGGCCCCATCACCTAATGCCTGTGTCACTGAACATGTCAATAAAGTACTCTAAATTCTAAGTTTGCCTCCGTGTTGATCTCACAGGATTTGCGTGTGTGTGTGTAAATTTCAACTAAGAAAACATGATAGCATTTTGATAGCTAATTTTGCAATGATAAGCTTTTATTAGAACCTGGCTCTGCAGTCACACTGTCCGGCTTTGAATCTCAGATTCCACTGCTTGCTATTGTAAGTTCTCTATGCCTTGGTTTGCTCTTTTGTAAAATGGGAACAATAAGAATACCTACCACAGGTGGTTATTAGGAAAGTTTAGTGAACTATTATATATAAAGTGCTTAGCATTTAATGAATGTTTGCAGTTATTATTATTATTTTATTATAGCAACAAAGTCAGATAGAGAATACCAAAACTCCTAGGAAGTGAAAAATTGAAATAAACTTATTCTTTATCCATGACTTATTTTACTTCTCTCTTCTTTGTCCTGTTTCCTCCTCACCTCCCCCATTTCAATGGTGCCATCAGCAGGAAAGCAGAGAATTATACAACATGCACTAACATCTGCTATTATGAATCAGACTTTGTACCTCAGCTGTTCAGCAAGATCAAAATGGCCCTGAAATCCTTTCGCATTATTCAACGAACATGCTTTGCATTATGATTTGGTTTGCATATAGGTAAATCGCCCTCTTCTAACACTAAATTTGCAGCCACAGTGCCATTTTTTACAGACATGATGACTATACGAGTGTCCTCCCAGCCCAAATGAGTGCTCAGCTTCGCCTTCTTACCTTCTGTGTGATGGAGACTCGAGGCCTTTTTAATCCTTTAGAGATGAAAAAAAGGAGCTAACCAAAAAGAGCTGAATACGTTAAAACAAAGAGCCAACCTACCAAAAACGACACTATCTACTGATGGAAAAACAAAAGGTATGAGGAGAATAAAGCTAGTCCAGCCTTTTGCTTACCCCAAGAATCTGGCTGAACAGAAAGGCATAGACGGGTGTAACTGTGCCATTGACAGCTGCACCCACGGCCCCTACCAGCATGTAGGGCCATTCCGGAGCATTGAATTTCAGAATCCTTCTAACTGGGGCAGGTTCAACTTCTTCTTCTTCCACAGGAATGTCCTTGTCCTTGAGGGGAGAGAGGGTTACAGTAGTCATTCAGAAATGTACACACAGACATTCTGCATCCACTCTTCTATTACACAGCAGACCACTCAGCAGCCACAGATTTAAGAGTCATGGATTGATTGGTTATGAGTGACCTCAAAGATCTACGAGATGCAGTGATTGTTATTTTGTGAGGAACAGTCTTGAACTGCTTGAGACCATGCTATGACTCAGAAGGGACTGAGCCTAGAGGGAGAACTCATCTGGAGGTGACCTTACAGTTCTCATTTCATAATCACATACGTATTAACTCTCAGGGAGTGATACATATGTTGGATCTTTCAGAAAAGGAACCCTCTAATTTAAAAAAATTTTTGTGCTTGAGTGATATTTACATATTTGAGGACTTCTGAAATTTTCAAGATATGCCCTTCCTAAATATCAAAGCTCTTTAATCCAGTAACTGGCTAAAGCTCTAAGGCAGGCCAGTGTATCTGAAACAGGCAAAATAATTTTAAAAATTTATTAAGTGCTGTCAACAATTATAATTTACATGTTTTTTGTAGAGTTTTTCTTAATGAGTACCCAGAAGTACATGATAACCTATTTGGACTTCTAAATTCTACATTTTCATCACAAGGAGTAAAAATTATTTCAATATTTCCTTATCCTGATCTCTTTAGTTGCATTAAAATGTCAGAGCTAGCAAATTTTTATTCTCTTGAAGGCAAATATTATTTCCAGAAGTCTATTATTATAACCATCACTTTTCCTTGCTATAGATATTACTCAGTCTATAGGCCCATTTATTCAATGTTATCAAATTTATTACTCACTTTGTTTGAGAAAGGATTTTAGATGGTTTATATAGACCTATATTGAATTTTTTTTACTTTTCTATTAAAATATACTAAAAATATGTATAGCAAATTGACTACAAAACTATTAGTTAGCACTCTCTTTCATTAACATGTAGTAATTTACCCTTTAGACAGCTGAATGTCAGGAACAGACAACAGTGAGGAACTTCAAATACTTTCCTTCTGTTTACAAAGTCAAAGACCACATTACCAATTCCATTTAAATATATGTCTGGTGTCATGTCCATGTCATGATAGTTGCAAGCCGAACAGGATAGAGGAAGGCAACTCAGCTGGTGATGGATTTGTTAGTGCCTCCATTTCAAGTTCTCTCTTGGCCCGCCCTCAACACTTGGACTTGTCATTACTACTCCCTCATGCAGCAAATCCTTCTGTTCAATGATTTCATCTCTGACAGCTTACTAGCTCTAGGAAATCAATGCCAGAGAGAAAGAAGCGCACCTAGGAAAGCATGAGCGGAACAGATGTAGAAAGAACGGGGTTCTTGGATGAGACCCTTACGACCACCAGTGTAATACACCACCAAACACTTTCGCTCTCTGGGGCTCAATATCTCATCCTCAAAATGACAGAGTTGGACTAAGTTGTTTTGGGGAGGCAAGTCTCTATCAGTCTCTGATATGTGCTTCTGCATATCTTGTGAACAGGGGCACTGACTACTTTTGTTTAGATTATTTTTTCAGGGATATTTGTGTAGCAAATAGCCTTGGAGCACAGAGATGGTTCCACCATCCCAAGAAAAGAGCAGGTGTGCTTATTGCCCATTATAAATGAATCAGGTGCCTTAAGCCTGGGATTTCTTTCCTGTAACACACGCCCCTTCACTTGCTGGTATCATCTAGCCCTCTTTGCATCAACTTATGGGAAGTAAGCATTGGGCTGGGAAAACAGTGCAAATGCTGTATTCTGGCTACTGCTCTTGCTGTGAGTAATAACGTCTTTTGTCTCTGACATAGGACTCTTGTGTATTCTGCCAGCATCCATGAAACTGTGGCAGGCTAACTTGATAGTTTGCAAAAGAGCAAAATATCAGACCCTTTACAGTTCTAGACAGTGGTTGGTGTCCAGATGTGGGTGCATACCGACTCACGTGGGTCAATGATCAGATATACAGGTTCTTGTGCCCCATCACCAGAAATTCTAATGTAGTAATCCTAAGTGTGTATCTGTATTTTAAAAAATACTCCCCGGGTAATTCTGGTAACAAAGCCTAGTTTGTGAGATCCTCAGTATATGATCTTCAAGACTCCTTCCAGCACTAATTGTCTAAGATTCCACAATTACACATTTTGAAAGTGTCAGCTGTGTTGTACCCTGTAAGGGCATTAAACTCCAACATTCCCAGAACCACTGCCCTACAGGATGATCCACTCACAGCCTGACATGACAGAAATTTTCCTGGCCTTCTGATACCTGAAAGTAAACCTAACTCTAAACAACAAAACCTAAGACATTTAAAAGCAATATGAAGTAACTTTTGTCAAGTAGTTATCATTCCAAGATAAACTAACAAGAGGCAAAATTTAATTAATTTGAATACAAGTTTGACTTTAAAGAAAACTCTCCCCCAAGCCCAAAGGCGATGTGATTATCAAGTCTGAATGATGCAAAAACTAGGAAACCTGTCTCTGAGTAATTGATTTTTAATTGACATTTATTTGATATAGCTAAAAGAATAATAGAAGAATAAAAGAAAACAAAATATAATTGAAGTCATTATGTATAGAAGGGCTTTATTCTCTGATTTTGCAAAGCTAAAGACGTGTTTACTCATCTAAAAGCTAAAGATGAATTTATTCATCTTCCCTCTATATATAAAGGGAGAGAGAGATAAAATGGCAAAAGTCTACATGTGTTTCAGCACTGCGGAGTTCCCGCCCCTGTTGTAGCAATGTCAAGTTGCACAGTGCTCTTTTATCAGATGTAAAGAAAAATCCTACCAGCAACTCCAGTGCAGGGAGGAGGACAGTGGCTTTTGCTCATCTTTGCGTTCCTACCACAATACCGGGCACATAATAGGTGTGCAATCAATGTTTATTGGATGAAAGAACGAATGAAGCTTTTATGCCCATGGTGCATACATGCAACAAAACATTTACTTGAAAAAATACTGATGGCTCCCCTACTATGGAGATGGTTCAATGAGAGACACTGGACTTTTCCCAGTTTCCTTCCCTCCGTCTCCTTGTGTAGGTCAAGTGAAAATAGAACTTCCTACTTAAATATTATGTCTTACTTTCTCTACTTTGTTACACTGGTTTCATCATGACAATCCCCAGGGGCCTCCTGCCTAAATAATGGCTTTAAGATTTGATGATAAGAAATGGTAATTATGACAAGGGAGCAGAGAGTCTCCAAATGAACAAATACTGATAGTCATTTTAATGGGTCCTGTCTTTGTCCTCTCTCTTAACCAATACCTAAAGCCTATCTTACAGTTAGCTGTAACAAAGTGATGGGTCTCTAATATTTGACCTTGACTTGATCTCATATATATTCTACCTTGTTTTTTGGTTTTCATGAAAGAGATGCCTAGATATCAGAGACTAGAACCTCTAACCTGCAGTTTTCCCCTAATCCTAAAGTTAATTTTATCAGCATTATGACTAAGATCTGACTCCATTTATGGGAAGCACGAGCACAGGTTGGAGAGCAAGAGAGACAAGCTGTAGTTTTAGTTCTGTCACCAGCTGACTATGAGATCTTGGGTCAGACACTCCTCAGATTTTGGAAGCACAGACTTATGAAAATATCTCTTCTACGTTTTCAGAGTCAAAACTCTGAGACCACAAGGTGGAGATAACTCCTTTATGTAAGTAAACCTTTTGCACTGCAACATAAGATAGAACATCTCCCAATTAAAAGAAGGTAAGGTTAGAGCTTCCCCAACAAAATGAGGAAAAGAAAGGATTTCACCAGGACTTGCGCTTGCAAGACTTAACTATTAAAGTACTTTAAAAGATACTTGGGATTAGAATAACCCAGATATTTAAAATATTTTAAAATTTAGTTGGATTAGAAATCCCATAAGTTAAATTTTATTAACCCTAATTCTGTTGTTTCCTTTTTAAAAATACGGAATTCTTTAAATCTAAGAGACTCCAATATAATTGTCACACAAACAAGCAATATTAATACAAGCATAAGATGTTCTCCTCTTGGAGCTCTAGCAAAATCGTGTTGGCTTTCCTGTCATTTTTTTCCTTCTTCTTCCTTTTTCTCCCTTAACTAGAGAGAGAATATCAAGTGGCATCTTTTTAAAATTACAGTTGCTTACATTTAATTGAATTTAATTGTTCCATTCTAATTTACAATGCTGATGAGTAGAATATTATATGGAGCATTTTTATTTCTCTAAAACTAATCTCTATATTTGATTGAGGTTTCCTTTTATTTCAATGACTCCCTTCTGAGTTTTCCCTGCATCATAAGAACTCTATGGGAATCGATGTCCAGGTCTCCGGGAATCTAATTGCTCTCTGCAACTATGCTGGGCCATCTACCAATTTCAGCAATAACAACAACAAAATCAGATTTTCTTTTCCTTCCTTCCTAACTCTCTTGCTTTTATTGTCAAACGTCTACCTAGAAACTAGAAAGAAAAAACATGAAAATGCAAAAATTGAATATGATTGGTGCTATTATGTTTGACAATTCAGTGTAGTGCTTTGTCCTTTCTCCCTTGAAGTTCTATTAAACTCCATACATAATGCATTTTGTAGTTATTAGTGGCAGCACCATGGACATAAATGAAATACCCATTTCAAGAACTAGAAGAGGAGCCGAATCGTTAATGGCAAGATGCAGTAGACAATCATGCTTAGAGAAATACATTTCTCTCATTGTGGTTCATCCTGCTGCTTCTGAGAAAAGGTGTTCTTCTATGAAATTTATTTAAACCAACTCTATTAGTTATGAGTCCTCTATTCATCCATTACTAATACATGAAAACTGAAAGAGAGCCTTAACAATCCTTCTACCATAGTCACCAGATCATAAGCAGTACTGTACTTTTTTCCAAATTTGTCATTGTGAACCAATGTTCATAATTACTTACAAAATGAATTCTCACATTGAAATTTTTTAAAGACAATTTGCAATTACATCATGCATAATGGATGTGCTTGTAATTAGAATACTCTCTGACTTATTTGCTTGGATAAATCTTGTGGTTTGGGCTTATTTTATTGTAGAAATTCAATTTTTCATCCTAGTTCTAAAATCTCCTGATGTCTTGCTAAGCGCAGGCCACTGGGCTAGGTGCCCAAGTCCATACAAATACAAATACTACTTAGTCATTCACTTTGGAAACTTTTAATTTAGTAAGGGGATAAGACAGCATGACCTCAAATAAGGCTCAGTAAGAGAATTGCCATGAAAAGACTCAAATGAAGAGTAACGGGGGATGGATGTGAAAGCGTCAGGGCTGAGAGTGAGGTACAGTGACCAAGGAAGGCTCTCAGGAGGAGGGATGTTCTCCTTACCTGAAAGTTAGACTGTGCCCACAACAGCTTGGGCTACTGGCATCTTTATGGAGAAAGTTTTATATGGCTCTAGGAGTTGATTCCTCTCCCATCTCTTTAATTATTGTGTTATTTTGAATTATGTTAAAATGAATAGTGTTAGTTTTAAATGCATTCTAAAACAATTATTATAAAATTGTATGAAGTAAACAAATGTCCATAAGACCAAATCAGCCCCCATTAATTCAAAATTTGTGATGACTTGTATAAGGGCTAGCCTTATCAAATACCTTTGTTGACAAGACAATTCAGGCAATTATAATTTAAGAAAGAGATTTACAAATTTGAAAAAAAGTTTTCAGATATCCTTAAATTGGTGCCTGACCTGTCTGTCTTCTGCAGGAGTAGACTTATGATCTATAACACCTACTGGAGGATCATGTACCAGGAAAGAAAGCTGAGACTTGGAACGCTGCCGGATGGAAGATCTGTAAACAAACAGAAAGATGAAAGAATCTGTAGATTGTGGGCAGGCTAGAACAGGACTCAACTAGTGTCCAAGGTTGCATCACATGTGTCAAATAAACAGAAATGTTCACTAGGTCACATGGTAACCAGATAAAGGAGCTTCCTTGTTAGGTTTCACAAACCTCTTCTTAGGGCAGAGCTAATCAGGTTGGTTGCTGTGGGTCCCAAGCTAGACTCTGATTCAGAGTGTACCCAAGAAAAGAGAAAGAGAAGGGTGTTCAAGTTGTCCCACTAGTCCGCCAAAAAAAGAAGTCTAAGACTCAAATCCATTCCAAATCTACATGGTTCTGCTAATTGCTGTAATGGCAGTGGTCCATCGCCTTTACCTCCCTTCTGGTTGTAGGTTGTAGTTTTGATCTCTCTCCCTTTCTCTGTCTATATTTCATGTTTACTTTAGCATAATGCCACCTGGATACAAATGAGCTAGCTGGAGGAAATAGGGCCCCTAGTGAGATTTTCTCCAGGCTATGTACCACCCTTGGGGATGCACTTAGTTAACAAATATTTTATTGAAATATAATTTAGCTTCATGTGTTCGTTCATTCATTCATTCATTCAACAGAGGCTTATTGGACACCTACAACACGCAAACCATTGCCAGGTGCTGGGGGGATACAAAGACTGGTCAATCACAGACTTCTCCCTCAAGGAACGTAAAATCTCGTAGATGAGCAATGCGTGCACCCAACCCTGATGTAAGGAAGAATGTGGTAAGTGCTGTAAGGCAGGTTTGAATAAAGAAATGTACGGCAGGCATTACCATGAAAGGCTTCATGGAAGAGGTGGCTAAGGTAGGATTTGGGTATTTGTAGATAGAGAGGGAAGAGCATTTCTGATTGAGAGAACAGTGTGAACAGAAGCACAGAGGCAGGAGAAAACAGGCTTACTGGTTACATACACTTAGCACGGGATAGACAGGAAGCAATTGGTTCGGTTGCTTTGGTTTATTTCCTGAGACTTTTGGGAAGAAGACTCCTACTCTCCTCTGAGTTAAACTTGAAAGTGTGCAGCACTGGGAGCTGCTGGCAATTATGTCAAGACCCTCAAAGTAAGAAGCTTCCTGAAAAATGAAGCCAATAGTGAAAACAGGTAGAGTTGAGAAGGGAAGAGGGAGAATCTGTATGTATCTTGGACGTATCATTGAAGCCCCAACCTTGCCTGAAGCCAAAGCATCCTTGGACTATTTAGTTATCTTAACTGATTCCCTCATTTTAAAGGTTAAACCAGGTGGGGTTAGATTTTGAGTCATTTGAAAATAGTCCTAAGTGATAGAGGCAATGCTGAAGACTTTAGAGGCAGGCAGTTACGTTACCAAAGCACGTAATCTGAAGTAATATGTTGTAAAGAGAAAGATGTTAGAGAGCAGAAGACCTGCATCAACTGTTTTAGTGCCATCTATTGGGAACCATTCCCAAGTCTCTCTCTATCATTTGTATTCAGGTGAGATTAGACTGAAACAAACATCAAGGTGGTGCCTGCCTATTATATGTGGTCATCCAGCCTTCTTGTGAAGGCAGTAACACACCAACTTAATCATTTTAATTTGTTCCCACATTCTGTTAATGGCTTTGCCATCCTCTTAGTCACCCAGGTTCAACAAGTAATCCCTCTTCCTTGCTCTTGCACATTCAAACTCTTGCAAGTCTTATTATGACCAGGCACGAAATCACTCCTCACTCCTACTCCTGCTGCCAAACTGGCCTCCGGGACACTCCAGTTCCCTCCCACCAGCCCCGAAACTTTACAGCAACAGAGTCGTTTCCTTGGGTTAGGTAACTAAGGTTGAGATGTCTTTTCCAGAAGGTGTGAGAAGTAGGCATGTGTCAACTGGAGAGAGCAGAGTCATGATAGAGCTGAGACTTAGGGTCATGGACCTAAAAAGCAAACTCAGAGCCTTGGAAGCCAAGGTAGGAGTATGTGGAAAAGGAGAGGGTCTCAAAATATAGTTGACTTCCTCTGGTTCTGGGCAAGGAAGACCTAAATCCTCGTCCCCTTGGATTTCTACTACTTCAGTCTTATATTTCTTAAGTCTCTCTCTCTCCCTATTCCCCAAACCCTTCCACCTGTCTAGCATAGGCTGTCCCAATGAGACTGTGGGCAGTAAGGGTGCTAGGCAGGTACCCTACTTGGCAGCCAGTTGCCCCTCTTATGGTCTACCATAAACTCCAGAGTTAGGATTCTATCACACCCCTTTTCAGAAACCTATAGCATCTGCGTCTTCCTTTCTCAGAAGCTGTGCACCACTTCTCACCACAAATAAAAACAGCTAATTCAGGGAATAAATGCTCTCTCTGTTGCAACATTATTATTTAGAAAATTAATTACTGTCATCCATTAAATTACTCTTGAACCTAAAATATATTACTAAAGAGGGACTTAGCCATCAGAAAGATCAAAGCCAAGGAAAGAGGATACAAATTAACATTTCATTTAGTCATCTTTTAGCAAAAAAAATGTGTCAGCATACACAATGAGATATTTTTAACAGACCTTCTTACTCAGACTTACAAATCTTTCTCTGCAGGAGGTTTAATAGCTACTTCCCGTGTATAGATTATATTCCTGGATTTCTCATCCTAGTCATCAAAATGTAGAATTTGTGAGAACTAATAGCCACATAGGAAATGTTTATATTAAAAATGGTTGTCTGGTCCTCATAGTGAACTGTAAGTAAACTACTTAGAATGGGTAGAATTTTGTTCATCTGAAAAGTTAAGAAAATATTGATCTTCTTGTTAACAGACCATGAGATAAACTTCCTCTCTGCAACCTTTCACCTAGTGATCGATAGAGATGCCGAGGCATTCTCTCCGTTGAAGAAATTAGTTGGTATCTTCAGGTTGTGATTCTAATGGCCCTTATAATTTAATTTTTTTATTCCAATCAGAAGAGCATGATTAAGTGTAATGCCAGATGTCTATAAAAGTTGCCTAATAATTTTGGCAATTTTTATAGCTTTTACTTTATAAAGGAACTTGAAGCTATGCTTTATTATTTTCCAAATTCAATAAATTCATTAAAGCTAGCAATTCTTGAAAATTTTCTGAATAGACCTGTTCTCAAAAGGAAAAATAAAAAACCCTAAGCATAAACTCAGTGAACTACTCTTCAAATACTAAAATAAATACATCCATGTTTGAACTACTTGGAGTTGTTACCTGAATGTTCTATTTTAAGCCTCTTTAACCAATTTTCAATAAACAATTCGCTATCTTGAATGAGCAAGTCCTATAACTGAGCCTTTGCTCAGAGCACAGCCGTGAATCAAATATCCTAGAAATGGTGAGGACAACTGTAGAGAAATAAGCTGTCAGCCCATTGCCTACCAATAGTCTCTTAACAAGAAAAAAATCTTGAATAACATTTTCACAAATATAGACGAATACTCTGGGGCAGAATTTTTCTTAATACACAAACTTTTAACATTAAAGGAAGTATTTTATTGAAACTCTTAAACCAGGATGGAAGACTAAAATTTACAGTCTTGCTATAGCATACGCCAAAAATATGCTTTGAAAGTGATTACTCCTATTTTGATCCACAGAAAAATGAATAGCTCATGTTTAGGAAAATTCTCTGTAAGGGTTAGAAAATACACTTCTTGGGGCCAGCCTGGTGGTGTAGTGGTTAAGTCTCATGCTCCACTTAGGCAGCCCAGGGTTCACAGGTTTGGATCCTGGGCACAGACCTAGCACCACTCATGAAGGCATGATGTGGCAGCGTCCCACATACAAAATAGAGGAAGACTGGCACAGATGTTAGCTCAGTGACAATCTTCCTCACAAAAAGAAAAAGAAAAAGGAAATACATTTCTTATTTCATCTAGTTAAGGAATGATTTCACTTTGGATGCGTTACTCTGGGAGCAGAAATATCTGTAATTCAGTTGTAGCTCCGTAGGTTAAAGAATGGAGCTAAAGGCATGCATTTGACCTTCATATAAGACAGTGCTTCATACTACAATTAGTTCTGGGGACCAGACTCAACACAATTTTTTTTTAAATCTCCTTTCTAAGCTCAATAAACAATATTTTAACAATAGACCATCTCTATCATGATCCCATCCCCAATAAAATGAGAAGCCAAATTTAAATTAAAAATCTCCATGAACTGGAGACAGAAATGTCAGTACTGTAACCAAGGATTCCCTTACATGTTTCTATTACACGAGACCTAGGGATATGCTTGGGACTCTCCTTGTCGTACTCAAGATACTGTGACCTGAGGGTCACAGCTGCAGAAGGCTCCTAGGAATATCTGAAAACTTTAAAATCTGCCCCACCACTTAGGCTTACCTTAAACTAGCCTGGTAGCTCCCTCTGCTAAAGGTCTGTTTTCTCTCAAGTAAGGCACCTTCAGTTTCGTCTTTTCCTATTCAATACAACATGAGTGATTCCTTAGTGTGTACAATAAGCAGAACCATATACAATAAAATTATTTACTATGTTTGCCTAGCACATCATTACTATATTTGATGCTAAGACAGTCTATTAACTTTAGTGCAGTAAATGAAACTTAGCACTTGTTCAGCACCTTCTAACGAGAAATTCCAAAATACTCAGCAAGATTGAATCTTTTAACCTGAGACAGCCTATGTTTTATCAGCACAGAAATGGATATCCTATAGCTATAGCATATATAAATCATTAAAAACTTAAGGGAAGCCCACTAGAAGTGGGAAAATAAACGATAGACTCACCAAATTTTTAAAAACTCTTTTTAGAATAAATTACATGTTCAATGTTATCATACCCAATGGAGTTCACAAATCCAGATGTGATATGGTAGAGAGAGTTTGAAGTGGTTGGTTAATGTAGGCTGGGATAAACCAGCAAATCTGAAAATTCAGATTGAAAAAGAGAAGGCACCCTAGGGCCTGAAGTACCCATTTACTGTAGTGAAAATACGCATAAAACATTTTAGTCATTGATTAGTTCACTCACCCAGTAAGAAGAGAGCTCCTACTGTGTGCAGGCACTATAGGAAGCATCTTCTATTTGCAAAGTGTTGGGGGGGGACAAAGAAGGATGGAATTGAAAGTTCTTCCACAGAAGACCTGGATTTTACTCTATGACTTGATCAGGGAGCTAAACCTCCTGAGCTTCTGTTCTTTCCTATATCATCTATATAATGCCTCCCAGGGCTTTGGGGAGAACAAATAAGACAGTGTATATTAAAATGCATAGAAATCCATAAAGCACTATATATGCTAACTATCTAGTATAATGTGCAAGCATAATGGAAAAGTCACTTGCCCTTTACGTCCTCTTCATTAAGAGCTTGATCTCCTTGACTTTGCAAAGTCACTAGAGTGAAGTAAACTCCTTTTCTTTCCAGCAGTTCTTCATGGGTGCCTCTTTCCACTGCTGTACCTTGTTCAAAACCAATAATGACATCGGCAGCTCTGACTGTGGATAGGCGATGAGAAACTGAAATGATTGTACGTCCACGCTGAATCTGCAAGGAGGTAGAGTGCACCATTAAACGAGACTGTAAGACAGAGCCGACATCGACATTTGGATCATCTCAGAATCCACAAGTAAGTCAGAGCCTTGTCCCTGGGAAAATCCTTCAATAATAGGCTGTGCAGATATTAGAAAAGACCGGCCCACTTTCTCATGGTAATAAACATCATCACACGTTGATCCAATTTCTGCTATTAATTAACAGCTAAAAACAAAAAAGGAAAATTTTTTAATCACATAAGTTAGACTTAACAAAATTTTAAATTTTACATGTGCAGCTTTTGGAAGCAAATCATACTGTCTTCTATCCAACTTTGAGGAACATTGTAGTCAGCCAATATTTTTTAACAGTCAAACTGGATACACTGACCCATGTAGTCTCTCTCTCTCTGTCTGCTCTCTCAATAAGCTGTGTTTCCTACAGCAGCACAAGCATTTCCACATGGACTCATAAAATGAACTCAGATTTTCAACAAACCTTACTCAGTGCCTCTTGTACCATGGCTTCACTCTCATTGTCCAACGCTGAGGTGGCCATGTCCAACAGCAGGATCTTGGGATTTCGGACAAGGGCTCTAGCAATGGCTATTCTTTGTTTCTGGCCGCCACTCATCTGGCTTCCTCCTTCTCCAACAAGAGTGTCAAATTGCTAGGAAGAAGGTGACACCAGTAATGAAGAAGAAAAATTTGATGGCTCCTGAAAGTGATCCACTACGAGATCCTTTCTAACTTCCTCCTCAAGCATGAATTTTCACAGGTTCAACTTTCACTGAAATACCCTGTCCTGAAACAGGTTATTATCTAAGCAATATTCATGTGTAAAATGCAGAAACTGATTTATTCTTTCATTCCCAGGTTTACTGGGCTGTATAAATGTTTCTCTTTAGCTCAATTTCAAATAAAATTTTTCCACCAAAGTAAAAGTTGCTCAGGGTCCTGAAAATCCATCTTAAAGGATTAAAGCACATATCAAATCCTCATCTCTTTTCTCTAGCTAGACAACATCTCTAGTCTTTATATTGGGAAGGAAAGCTCAAACTAGCTTTATCATCATTACCATCAATAGCAAATAGTTATTGAGTATCTTGCATGTCTAGCATTACACTAGAATCTCACAACAAGGCATGATTGTCAGACTCTTATCTTGCTTGTTATTACCCAACATGACTTGAGCATCTACCATATATAAAGCATGGAGCTAAGCTCTTTACACATATCAGCTCACTTAGTCCTCACAGATGCCCTATGAGGTAGGTACTGCTGTTCTCCTCAACTGACTGCCAGGGTGTAAAGGGTAGAGTAAGGTGCACAAGTTCATAATGCTTGGAGGTGGAGAAGCTGGAATTTATATGGAGGTAGTTTGATTCTAAAGTTTTATATGCTTTAACCACTAGATAAAGCTTTAACCACTAGATGATATCATACTCACAGCTACAATTGTATTCATACAGGTAGTTTAGAAGGCTGAATAGGAAGTGTTCTAGAGCACAGACTCTGGAGCCAGACCATCTGGGTGTGAACCTTGTCTCTCCTGCCTTGAGCAAGTTATTTGAACTCTCAGAACCTCAGTTCTCCATCTGTAGATGGGGGTAATAAGAGTAGCCGCCTGACAGGATGGTTGTAAGAGTTAAATGAGTTTATAGATGTAAAGTACTTAGAACAGTGCCTGGTATGTAGTAAGCACTATATATGTGTTAACTAATAATAATAATTCTTCTTTGATTTAAACCATTGGTTGCAAAATCCATGTAACTATAATAACATGGAGTTGTTTTCTCTTGTCTTTGTTGTTTACAATGAAGATAAATGAGGAATTTTTCAATATGTTAGATACAGTACTGAGGACACAATATCAGCTGCCTAAGAACAAGAAAATTAAAGAGCAGTGACAATGGTAGACATCAAAAAAGCCTCGTGCAAGTTATTGCCACATGACAAATTTATCATCTGCTTAGACAAATGCTTAATAGATGGAATAAGAAAATTGTATCTATGTCAAAGGGAGCTTTTACAGGAAAGTTCCCCAGTTTGGTCAATTTTTGATATATTAACAATGTGTTTTCAGACAAAGGGGAAAACTCATGTTACATTTCCAAGCATGAAACTAAAACATGGCATTAAGAATTTAATGATTTAGGATTCAAATGAAAAGAAATGCATGTTATTGTGTAACTTTCTTTCCTTCTGTGACTTCTGGGTTTCCCTCTGGAATGAGAGGTTCGGGGTACCTGTGGCAGGTCCATGATGAAGTTGTAGGCATTGGCTTCCTTGGCAGCTCGGACTATGTCTTCCATCGTTGCATCTTCTCTGCCATAGCGAATATTCTCTGCAATGGTGGTGGAAAACAGGACAGGCTCTTGCTCCACTATACCAATCTGAGCTCTAAGCCACTGAATGTTAAGAGAGCGAATGTCATGGCCATCCAAAGTCACCTAGAGAACATGAGCACAACATCATATCCCTTAGAATCCTTCTGAATCATAATACTATGGTGCATTTGACCTACAGGGAGAAAAAATAGGGACTGACAAGATTGTAACAGAAACGATTCCTCTTGTAATGTGGTTGTTAGTATAAAGACGACAATATATAGTATAAATCAAGTATAGCTGTAGGACAATTCATTGTAGAAACACAAATGAAGTAAGGGTCACTTAATTTAACAGTATTGGTCCAGGAATGGAGAAGTTTTTAATTCCTCAATAAAGAGTGGAATCACTTGTTTATCATGCTTTGAATATTTTTATTATCTTTTGACGGGTGACCAAAAATGGACTTCAAAAAGATACAACAAAAATAAGCAATGATCCCTATCTTGTATATATGTTTTATAGTAAAATCTTGCTTTCTGGCCAGATTCATCAAACAACATTTGGCTGTTCAAAAGCAATTGAAACTGTAAGTGGGATGAACAAATAAAAATGACTATTAGCAAAAACATGAAAATTTTACATCAAAAAACCATTTCTATATATTCAGAGTATAGTTATGGTGATATGTAGCAAAGAATACCCAATCAGAGAATGAAATATCTGCCAAAAAGGAAAACTCAATTATGTTTGCCATGTCAGTATAGTAGTACATGCATTATAGAAACTCACTGCATTCAAGCCATTTAATATACAGTCAAATGATTCTATCTCAAGGCATCAAGGAGACATCAGCAAGGACGATTTTGTGACAGAGAGAAAAGAGCATAGGCTTTGGCATCCAACAGTCCTGGGTTCAAATCTGGGGCAAGTCTCAATTTCTTTGACTTTCTGCTTCCTCATTTGTAGAATGGTCATATTTCCCTTTGGAGGTCATTGTGAAAATGACTAATCATTTTTATAAAGTACTTGACAAATATGTAAATAAATGACAATTATTAATATTTACTTAGTTTCAGTCTATATTTATAGTCAAATAAACACAAGGCAAAAGAGACTATGTAGTCTGTGAAATTGTTTATTTTTTTAAAACCTAACTTCTCCAAGTAGTAATCAAGAGCTGTTTTCCGTGAATCCTAGTCATGTAAGCTTTCCTATATTTAGTGTTTGGAGAACTTTAGGAAACAATAATGATTATGTTACAACATGAAGAAAGAAATGGAAACATTAGTTCACTGAAGAGGCAGTTATACCATTTTGAATGTATCTGCCCATTCAGTTACATTACTGAGTGAATGGGTTGGTTATTCATTGAACATGACCACGACACAGGGAATTAGTCCAGTCATTTCAGTCTAAAATCATTGTCAACTATGTATGCCAGATGGTCTCAGTGTATGCTAGGCCTCTGTGTTTGACCAATAGAGCACCATTTGCAATCTCCTATCCCCACGTACTGAGAAGTTTCTGGAAGACACATACCATGCCTTCACTGGGGTCATAGAATCGCTGAATGAGCTGTAGTGCCGTGCTTTTCCCGGCTCCACTGGATCCTACCACACCTGTCATTTCCCCTGATTTAATGACCATGCTGAGGTTATTTAAAATCTGTGGAGAAAAGAAATGAGCAATGTTTAGATTGTCAACAATTAGGCTACAAGTTAGGATGCTTCGTGAGGACACTGTGTATGTGTTTACTTACGTACCCAAAACAACATTCATTGATACTCATCAATAACCAACAAATTAGTAAACAGTGCCTAGGATGAGGCTTTAGCATTTAACGCATTAGTTATTATTTAACTCATAGCTGCAGCCAACAAATAAAATGATGTGTAGCAACACTGTTGAAATAAATAAGCCATGCCAACTATTAAAAGTATGTTTCAGAATCTAATTTAAAAGACTTATGCCATATTAGGATACCTCAAGGAGACTGCCTCAATTAGTTAAGGGAAAAAAGCCATTAGGTTAGAAATATAATACTAATTTACTGATCACGGTTTAATAACAAACCAATTAGCAAATTTTAAGCTGTGCCACACTTGTATTCAAACATATTGTTTGAATAACTTTACCCAACAAATGTTGACAGTATTTGCTAGGTACAAACCACTGTCAAAGGTGGAAACTGAATGCTGGTAAGTCTAGAAAGGGAAGAACAAGAAGCTAATTCACAGCCATTTGTTGGATATTTTCACGAAGTCAGTGGTGATTTTTGTCCTTATTGTGTAAAGGTGGCTTGGGGTCCTCTGTGTGACAAAAATCTCACATCTTTCATTTCACACTGGAGAGTCAGGCTTGCAAATACATTTCTGCTCACTGGACTGTATAGGACTGTACTCTCCCCTGGGGCAAGCAGGCCTTGAGAGTGCTTTTTGTTGTTGTTGTTGAGGAAGACTAGGCTTGAGCTAACATCTGTGCCAATCTTCCTCTAGTTTATATGTGGGTTGCCACCACAGCATGGCTGAAAAGTGGTGTAGGTCCATGCCAAGGATCCAAACCGGCAGACCTGGGCCACTGAAGCAGAGCACGCTGAACTTAACCACTATTCCACAGGGCCAGCCCCAAGTGTGATATCTTACAGTATAGCCCCAGTACAATGTAGCACCCAGCAGGGCTAAATACATACTCGTGGTAAGAATGAAGAACATTTACAGAGTAAGTAAGAAGATTTTATTAAAACAAAATTTGGTATTGGGAATAGAAGATAAAACAGAGATGAAATAAATGTGTTTCAATTCAACCGGTATTTGTTGAACAGCTATTATGAGTTGGTTCTGAATAGATGTAAGAAAGGATGTTTTTAGCCATTCATTCAAAAATCTTTACTGAGTGACTGCTACCTTGTGATTTATATTTCACAAATCTCTTTTACGTATGTTATGACACATATTATATACATATGTATTTAATGTTTACATACATATGTGATATATAACATTAATCAAAAATACACTTTAGAGGGGTTGACCCAGTGGCATAAGGGTTAAGTTTGCATGCTCCTCTTTGGCGGCGTGGGGTTTGAGATTTCGGATCCCAGGCACGGACCTAGCACCACTTGTCAAGCCAAGCTGTGGCAGCATCCCACATAAAATAGAGGAAGATGGGCACAGATGTTAGCTCAGCAACAATCTTCCTCAAGGAAAAAGAGGAAGCTTGGCAACAGATGTTAGCTCAGGGCCAATCTTCCCCCCCACACACACAAAAATACACATATACTTTAGAAATGTAAAAATAAGAATATATTATGTCCCTATGTTATATATATATGTATGATATATGTGTGTGTGTGTATATATTTACCTACATTATAGGTATGTAGAATCAGAATTAAGTTGCTTGGGATTTAGTTCTGTGGGGATCAGAGAAGTGTTATCAAAACAGGGCGGCTAGAGATACTCTGTTAAAAATGAATAAGTCTCATTTCAAAGCCAATTCATTCAGGGACAGTAGATCCTAATTTTCCTATAGAGTGAATTGTCTTTAAAGATACCTGCTCGGCAGGTGCAGGAAAACTGTAAATTTTCTTCACTACATGCCTGGACAATCACCTAGTACAAGGCACGTAAGCACAATATCACAAGATTACCTTTCCTCCAAGGATGGATCGAGTGACCCTTGTGAAGTTACAGACAGGAAATAAAAAATGACAAAGACAGCAGCTTTCCTTTGCCACTTCACGCCCTACCCACTGAGCGTGCTCCACCTTCTGCAGTCTCGAAAGAGGTAGTTGACAAAGCTGTACCTCTCGATTGTTCTGACTGCCTCAGAGTTATTTAGCTTTGCTTACAATGACAGGACTCAGCACTCATTTCGCCAGAGCATCACACAGTTGACTTAACCTGAATGTGTGCCAGACTGTGTTCCCAGCAGAGGGATTTGCACATTATTGCGATCACAAAGGAATGTGGCTTGTCGCCTGAGAAATGACATGACACCTGAGGACACATTAAAGAAACATGCTTTCTGTTCCTTGTTCCTGGAAACTGAGTCATGCTTCAGAAAAACAAGTAACTTGTGGCTCTGGAAATGAATCAAGAAAGAAGAAAATGCCGTTGTTCCTGGGGAAAAGGTTGGCACTTACCTGCACCTCTGGTCTGGAAGGATAGTGGAAGGTCACATTATGGAACTCAATTTCACCCTTAATTCGATCCAATTTGTAACCATCTTCTGACATGCAATCAATGATGGGCTTCTGGAGTGGAATATAAAAGAGATATACAGCAACAACATGTATTATATGCATTTACTGTCCATCTTGGTTTGAATTTACTCATAAAACAGAACAACAACCAGGTAAAACATTGCAGAGATATGCTAAAGAAAAATTACTTCCACATTAAATAATTATTTATATCAGTAATAATACTCACTACCAACTATTGAGATAGTAATATGAGATATATTACTATATATTAATAGCATTGATACGTTACATTACATATATAATATATTGATATATAATCAAGCATACACAAATTATATACAATTAATTATAATTGATATAAAACACATCAATTAACATGTTATTGCATTAGTAAATGTAATTTAATTAGTTTTATTATTTATTGATAATTACTATGTCATACTATGTTATTACATAATAATATAATATATAGTATTGACATAATATATTTGTATATAATATGTTAATATTACCATGTATTGTTATATTATTGAGATATAATGAAAGACAATGTACAAGGTGTTTTAATATGCTTTTTTCATTTACGTAGTTTCCCTATGACCTAACTAGGCATTTTTTCATTTGAGGAAGCACAGGGGTCTCAGAGAGGTTGAGTATTTTGCCTAAGGCCACCCACAACTAGCCCTCCAAGCTGGGGTCCAATAGGCCTCTACATTTGAGTATCTATTGTAGATGACTAAAAATAACTGAACGTCCTCCAGCAGTGTCTTCAAATGCTACCAGCTGTCAACTGATGTGTTGAATTCCACCTCTGTTGTTACTAGTGAGCCCAATCTAGAACTTAACCATTCTAGTTAATCAGACAAGACTGAGGGCCATCTCCTGCTACCAGAACACTTTATGGTCATCTTCTTCCCTCTTCCACACTAGTGAGAAAAATTTGTCATCATATCTCTATTTGCAGCTATAGTGTAATCTACTTTCTTCTTCTTGGGTCTCTAGTAAAGATAATAAAATAAATTTTAAATGCCTTAATTCTTTGTAATAGCTTCAGGGGTGTTTTAGACTCATCCTCTTATTTGAGCATATACCAACCCTAAGAATGAGGTAGAATTTGAATTGTCCAACATTTCTATGTGGTTTTCAACAACCTCTTTATACCCTAATATATGAAACCCCAAAATATAAAACAGATAAAGTGGTGAGCAGTTTCCTCAGATAAGTTGTAGCCTCATTGTTTGACAAAAAATACTTAGGATTTAGGGGACTCACGAAGCACCCTTGGATTTCCAGGGCTGCTGACTCTTAGCCCAGGGCATTTTTTCAAAGAGGAAGAACAACGTACTGCCATCTTCCCTCTTCTGTTCTTGGAATTTGACTTTCTAGCTTGATGGCCAATGTGCTTCAATAGATTAACCGGGAAAATCCCAGCCAGGCTACCAGGGTCCTTTACAAGCTCATAGAGAATTCCTGTCGCATTTAGAGGACAATCCAATCTTATGAACCTGGCCCCTTCCCATCCCTCCAGCCTCTGTCCCTTGCTCACTCTGTTCAGTCGCACCAACTTTGTTTTAGTTCCTTGAATTCACCAAGCCCTTTTCCAACCTGGAGCTCTCTCTTACATGAATACCCTCCCTGCTCTCACCCTCATGCGCCACTCCTCCCCCCAGGCCCCCTTTGCACTGGCTGATTCTCCTCCTTTGTGTCTCAGGTCAAATCCTGCCTGTTCTGAGATGATGTCACTCATCATAAAGACTCCTTCCCCCACCCCAATCAGTATCACATTGCCCTATTTTATGTCCTTCATTGTACTTATCACTGTCTAATATTATCTTTCTTTATTATTGTGTGCTTACTTCTTTATTGCCTGTTTCCCAGTATGACATGAAAGCAGGGGCCGTACTTGTTCTATTTCACTCTTGCTCTCCCAACTCAGAATGGGGTCTGGCTCATGACAGCTCTTATTAAGTAATAGTGAATTAAGGGCACTGTGATAGTTCCCCATATTTTTTAATTTTGAAGGTGAAAGTCTCAGGAGTTCATTCCTCTCCCCACCCCCAACTTGCTAATGGCCTTTACTTTTGGCTTTTACCTACCCGGTCTATTGTCTCAAAAATACTGGTGGCTGCTGCACGTCCGGCTGCAAAGGCTTCCAAACAAGAAGATGCATTGCCAAGATTTAAAGCTCCTACTATGACACCGAGGAAAATCTGAAATGAAAAGAGATAGACGTAGTTTTCATGTGTTTTTGTCTATTTGTCAATAGTGCTCACTATCATTTGGGCTATCCATGTGATGTCAGAGACTTCTCAGAAAGACTCCTACATGGCAGTTTGAAAACTAGATAGCTCTTTGGAAACACCTGGAATAGTTTCTGTTCCATAAAGCATCTCCAATATTTCTACTTTTATGATGTAAAAGACTACATTGTTTTTGACTGAACAATACTCTTCTACAAAGAACATGTGGTTTGTTTTGTTTTGTTTTGTTTTTGGTGAGGAAGTCTGGCCCTGAGCTAACATCTGTGCCAATCTTCCTCTGTTTTGTGTATGTGCGGTGCTGCCACAGTGCGGCTTGATGAGTGGCGTGTAGGTTTGCACCTGGGATCTGAACCCGCAAACTCTTGGCTGCTGAAGCAGAGCACACAAACCTAACCACTACACCACTAGACCAGCCCCTAGAGAACATGTTCTTAAGTGAGTAAGAGGTCTAAGTAAGTCAGCATATAGACACAAAGTGGGTTAGAATAGTGATATGATAATTTGATTCATTATATAGACAGCCTTATAATGGTTTTCTGGTTAAAGGGTCACTGAAAACAATAAAGACACTATGGTTAGCTTGGCTGTCCTAGAGATTGGTACATGCAATATATCTAGTTCTGCTGCTACAACTATTACACTACTACTGGCAACAATAATAATAATAATAATAATAGTAATAATATGTTTCTAAGTGCTTTACCTATATTACTTGATTTAATCCTTACAACGGAAGAGGAAACAGAGGTACATGGAGCTTACCTAACTTACCCTATGTCACAACGTGTATTAAGTGGTATTGAACATAGGCTCTCGAATGACATTCTGTCTAGCTCCCAGGCTCATTTGCTGCTGGCCGCATGCAGGTGGAGTGGCCAGATTACTGTGCAGAGCTGGGAAGCTGTCCTTTGACTCACCAACCCAGCCAAATCATTAAGTTAGGAGAAGCCTACCTGATCAGTACCAGATGTTCCTAGCAAATAGCCCTCTTTATTAAGAGGCAATGAGGCAATTCCTCATACTGGCCTCTACAAGGAGCACAAGACTCCTTCTCCCCACCCCTTCAACCAAAAAATGGGTGTTAGTCATGTGACTCCCATGGAGGATGCTTCATTGGCCACCATCTTTTGGAGACTGGAGTTATTTGCTGAGCTAAAGGTTGGCTTTTGCAGGAATATAGTCTTTTCCAAGTAATCAAATGATCCTAGTCTGTGGCGGTTTCCACAAGCTGGATTCTCTCACTGGTTACATCACATCAGGGCTAAATACTCCAGAGTCCCTCCTGGCTCTCTTTCTTCCTTGTGGCTGGACCATGAGGCTTCTCAGAGCCTCCCAGCCATCTCCTTCCTTCTCCAGTAACCTCTCTATTCCACACATCACAATGATGTGGTCCAGCCCCCTCTTACCTTCTCCCCAAATTCCTCACTCTATATATAGGGACAAACATTTTCTCTTCATCTGCCTTTATTGTTCCTTTTTCTTAATTATGGCAGGTAATTCCTCCCAGGGACAGATTACTTAATCTTTCAAGCCCCAATTTCTTTATCTGTAACACATGATGATGATAGTATATACCTCATGAGAGTGTTATGAGGATGAAATGAGATAATATGTGTAAAACTGATTAATCGAATGCCAGCCACATAAATGATAGTGATGATGGTGATGAAAGAAGTGAGATTCCATGCTCAGGAAATGATAAGGTGAAGAGACAGAACAGTAATTGTGGTCTAAGTTGCGTTAAGACAACCTTCACCAGAGGTCTTCCTACCTGAGCAAAGGAAGCCTTCTACATGTCCTGGATCAGGGGTCAGCAAATATTTTCTATAAAGGGCCAGATAGTAAATATTTTAGGCTTTTCAGGCCATATGGGCTCTGAAGTAATTAGTATTCAACTTTGGTATGTAGTTCAAAAGCAGCCATAGATCACAGTAAAAAATGATTGTGGCTGTGTTCCAATAAAACTTTATTTACAAAAACAGGCAGCAGGCTGGATTTGGCTTGTGGGTCATAGTTTGCTACCCCTGGTCTAGATTCTAGACTGACTCACTAGGAGCCTAAACTGAGGTTTGGGGTCAAACTCTTGCTCAGCCTGACTTTGCAAGCATTACCTCCAGCAAATGTCTCTCGGGTTTCCTAGGGGGGAAGTGAGTAAGACAGAACAGAGGCATATACCTAATACCGTCACAGTAGCTAGCACACATCCCAACAGACCATCGTTCTCATCCCAAATATCACCTTCTTCAGGCCTGCAGAGAAGGAAGAGGGAGGAAAAGAGAGACCACTGGGGAACAATCTATCCGTTGGCATGCTATGGCAGAGAAAAGGGACAGCACCTCTTGGAAGACGGATCCAGAGGTAAGAAAACAGTGGTCAATGGATCAGGCCATAGAGTCACAGAGGCCTGAGTTCAAATCCCTCTCTATGCCACTTGGCACGTATTTCTCAACCTCATGGCTCTGTTTCATTTCTAAGTGGTAGTATGACACCAATTACGAATGAAGTTGTGAGTATTACATATAGTAATTATGCTAAATACCCCACTCAGTGCTTGACAACTTGTACACCCTCAATAATGCTACTCTGTTAATACTGTGTATGATTTTTTATTATTGAGTCCAGAAACTTAAGCGGGGCATGAAAGAGCAGGCTTCTGCACCATTCAGTTCCCTTTCATCTTTTTTGTCTGTGTACAAGTGATACTAATTACAGTCTTTATGTGAACTACGTACCATTTATGCCCAATTACCATGCAGCCTATAATGATTTTGTGCATCACAAAATGTGTTAGATTAACCTAATTGTTAATTAGTTTAGTGGATTAAAAACACTCAACTTAGCTCAGGCATACTCAGCCATCATAGTTTGCTGCTCAGAAGTACAGCCAAAAATGTGCATGCATATGCGAGCGAGGGCAAGAGAGAAATAGAGAGAGAGGAGAATAATCAATGATTATGCTGTTGAAGGATGTCTCTCATCTTCCCAAAGAAAAATTTCCTATGGTGTAAGCGGAGGCTTGCAGGAAGAGGTTAGGAGTAAGAGGTGAGGTTAGTAATTGATGATTAAAATGTTAGAGACACATAGTATGCCTTGTCTGCACATAGTAAGTACTCAAGAAATACCAGGAAACTTGAAGGTGAGAACTGTTAAATTAGGTAAACAAGGAGGCTATTAGACTAAGGTGGCTTTAATGCCTTAATGGCCTATATAAGCAAACCAAAACCCAAGCCTGAATGCCTCAAGGTTGAGAAATCAAAACCTAAGGACAGCTGATCACAAACAGCCAATTAGGCTTTCCCAAATAAGATCATCGCTTCAGGAGTAGCCAATCAAATCATTTCCTTGCTTTGCTTCCACCTCTTCTCTATAAAAGTCTTTCCCCTCTACTCTATGATCCAGGAGAAAAAAAAACAAAACTCTTTCCCCTGGCTCCAATGGGTGGAGTCCCTCTAACGACTTCTGGATTAGAGCTGCCTGATTGGAATTATCTTTGCTCAAATAAATTCCTAAAACTTTTAATATGCCGCAGTTTATCTTTTAACAGAACCATAAAATTGGATTCTTGCTAGAAGGATCTACCAACGGTTTTTTTAAATTCAGCGTTTCCAATTGGAATTATGTATTTGTTAATTTTCAATTTACCAATTCATTTTCCCCTCTGAATTGTTATTTGTGCACACCTCTGTCCCCTCCTTGCAGCATGGAATGAAAGGAAGGATGTCTTTCTCAATGCAGATCTCTCTGCAGAATGAGCAGATACTCCGGACTAAAGTCAGCTACTGGTATCTCTGGTTTGGTAAATGTTGAAAATTCTTAAAAGTCATTAGATCAACAAAGACAGGGAATTTTACAGCCAGGTTTCAGACCTGCAGTACTTTCACTGGCTTTTCAAATGTGCAAAGCTACATTAAAGTTGTTAAGAAAGGTGCTTCAATTATGATAATAGTAACACTTTCCATCTATACTATCCCTTTAAGGTTTGCAAAACACTTTAACATGTATCATCATATCTAATTTTTTTAAACAAGTTTCAGATGATGCCAGTTGTTCACCTTGCAAAGAACTGTATTTTAAAAAGCTGCTCTTAGTGTTTTATCATGCACTTAATGAAATAAAGTCAGTGTCTTAGAATGATTATAGTTTGACCTTGATAGTCATTTCTATTTCCAAATAAAATTCCCATTCAACTTTCCCTAGAAATGTATTTATATTAAAGAAGTAGATCTCAAAATTGCAGGCAATAGGCTAGCAAATTTCTGCTATACAAGATTTTGGTATTTTTCACTGTTTAATTGGTACCTGTCCTACCTAGAATCTGGAGCCAAAATATTTTATTTAAGAATCTTATATGAAACCACTTCCCATCCCCATGCTTTTTAAATAATATACTTAATTAAATAGTTAATAGGCCAAATGAAACATGTATTTCATGTTTAACCTCCCTGACTTCAGGGAGCTTAGTGCCTGAGGGCAGGAACGGGTGGAAACCAATGTACATAAGGGCAAACATTCAATTTCACTCAAGTGCTCTGAAGGAAGAGTTCAGCAAGCCATACAAGAGAGTGAAAGGTTAGATGAGCATGGAGAGGTTCACTGAGGCAGTGCCATTCAGCTGAGAATCTGAACAATGGCAAGTGTCTAACTGCAAATAGAAGGTCCATAAGCTAGGGAGGAAAGGCCTTGGGATAGTGAGTAGGAGAAAGAGCTTTCCCTGACCCCAGCCATACCTGGTTACCCTGCTATTCACTGCCAAGTTCCCTGTCCTCTACTTTATAGCATGTTACCATTTGTCATTATGCATTTATGTGACTATTTAATTGTTGTTTATCTTCCCCCCTAAACTATAAATTCCACTAGGGCAAAGATGACATCTCTTTTGCTCACTATTGGATCCCCTGCACCTTGTGTGGGCCTGGCGTATGGCAGATGCTCAATAATTAATTCTTGAAAGGACAACGAAAAGGACACTGAAAATTAAAGTAGCCATGGCATTAGCTATAGCATGGCTATAGCACAAGTGACCCATAAAAGATGTGTGTATTACTTACTTAGTTGAGGATATTATTGGCTTGATATTTTAATAACTCATTAAGTTTCACAAATACATCCATTAGCACATATCTTGTACTATGATTAAGCTTTACTGCATGAGCTGTTAACTCTTAGCTGAGAGATCACTGACTTTCCATTTTCATGGCATATTATCTTTTGGACTCAATCAGAAAAATCATTGTTTTACAGCTGTAAAATCTTCAGATAATTGGAAATCATTAAATCGCTGGTCTCATCAATTCAAATGCTCAGCATCCCTTTACTATAACATGTATAAGTATTGCTTGTTTCTGCAGATGGACTCCATCAAATCATCGATGCTTTCCTCTCTCCGACACTAAAGGACTAAACAAAATGCCTTAACTGTGGCCTTTTCTGAGATGCCAGCAGGAAATGCTACATCTGGTTCATGAAGATCAAAGTACCTGGACAAGGGTTCCTGCCGTATATTCTCCTTCATCCAGGACGAGTTTGGAGCCATACCAGAAGGCCAGTGCATAACACAAGAAGATGAGACACCACATGAATCCAGTAAAGAATCCCATCACTATCCCTTTTCTAATTCCCCAGCGCTGGGCAAACACAAGATTTTTCTCATACCTGTGAAGAGAAAACATTTGAGTCTATTTCAGCAGCAGCTGCAGCTGCAGAGCAAGTTAGAATGTTACAAGTCCCCAATGTAGCGGTTTTACTCAATGATTACAAAATCACCCCAAACACAGAGCAGCTTTAGGGAAAGAAAATGGCAATAACTTCTGTGTAGTTATTTAAAGTTTGTTTCAACCTGGCAATGAAACGTGTTGAAGGATGATGCCTTCTAAGAAAGTCTCATAGTTGATTACTTTTTGGATCAGTACAACAGTGTAAGCTTTGTGCCAAGAAAAAATTTCCACACAAATGCTTGGACATGAAAGACCTAGTACTATTTGTGCTTGAACTGTTTTATGAAGTCACAAGACATGCTTTCTATCTGAAAATGATGCACCTGTTTGCCCCCCAGGTTTGAAACTAATGTTTGCACCAACCCATCTGCCCTGTGACCAAGAATGTTGTGTTGCAACATGACTGGTCAGGTTCACAGCCGTGGGACATGGATAACTTTGTGGAAATTCAACCCAAGCACTAACCTGCAGTAAATCTGTGATTTAGCCGTTAATAATGGGCATTGTCTTAAAACTCAGGCATTCTGTAACTTCCTTCTTATATCTCAAAAACTAAATGCATGGAGAACTTTCAATATTTCATAGGACAAAACTGAATGTCTAACCTATGTTTCTTAACATTTTTAACCGTTTAAACCACTTCTTTTATTAAGAATAAAAGATAATATCTTTCATGGAGGAGGGAGTATGCTACTGAAATTTTTTTATGAGAAATAACGTACTTTTACTCCACAAACCGAAAGAAGCAAAAGGAAAAAAGGATAATTAGGGATTGTAAATTCTGTTCTCTTTTTTATTTGGTGAATTTGGTGGCAATTGAGAATAACATTGGACTAGATCTACAACTCACGAAATAAGGGTTTAATTAAGTTGGTGGTTATTTTATAAAATCAGTCCCTGGCACATGCTAAGTGCTCAATAAATACTAGGTAAATGGAAGAATAAACAAAAGCAAATTTTTGACATCTGTGTTGTCACTAAGGTTTTTATTTTCATTAAGAATTAATCTCCTAGAATGATGGTCTACAATATACCAATGCTAGATTTTGTTTGATCAAATGGAAATCTTATCAGACTTTATAAAGAGCATGTAGTACAGTAGCTGAATAAAATACATTGAATAAAAAAAATTCAAAAAATGTGTGAATTGCAATTTAGATCATGTAGGCTTTTCCTTAATGGCAGCAAACAGTGTTACAGACTGGCATGAAGTATAGTATGCATACATAGACATCACCAGAGTTTAAAATAAATATCTAACCTAAGAAGCCTTTCTAAAAATCACCCACTATGACATCTTCAAAAACACATAGCTAAAGGCTTGGGAATCCTTTCAGTGCTTTGACCAATCTAATTACTCTGCTTGGCTACCTCTTGAAGAAAAATCTCCCTCAGGGTACCACAGACCATGGTGAATCTGCCACTTTTTACAAAATGGGGAAGATTCAGGGTAGTATGTGGATCAATGAAATTCAGCAAAGTGGCAGACATTTCAATTAACCAACCTTTCAACCTCTTTTTTCTCACCACCGAAAGCAGCCACTGTTCTCATAGATGAAATGACTTCATCAGCCACTGACCCTGCTTTGGCATAGGCCTTCAATTCATGGTCAGTAAACTTGGACACACTCTAAAATCCAAAAGAAAATAAAATGTGAAGACTAGGCAACTAGGTAAGTCAGGCTGTCACTCAGTGATTCATTTAGCAGAGCAAACATATGGCATGGTTTAATGCAAGACTAGATTCTCACTGTAATAGAATTTACCGAGGAAAGAATTTGGTCCAAGTTGATTCATGTTAAGCCCCATCCGTGAGTGTTTGGTTGTTGACATGTAAAAATGAGTCCATTAAAAGTCAGCCCCAAAACCTCTCTCACAGAGTAAGTCCCAAATAGGACATTCTGTGAGACCACAGTGTTTCCGTCGTTATGCTAATAAAGGTTTCAAGTCAAACCATGGTACATTTCATTGCTATTGGCCAAAGGCTGTTGTATAATTTACAGACAAACACCAGAGGCAAAGATGGGAGGCCCGTGCAGGCATCAAATTGGTTAGAACATAGAATGAGGGAGAGGTTCTGAGCATGCAAAGACAAGGTGCTGCAGAGGCCATTCCACAGGAGAGAGCTTCAGATACATGTGACACTATTTCTACTCAACTGGAGGGGTTTAACTAACTAGCTTTGCTTTTTACAAAAGGAAATAAAAAGCACTTAATATTAAACAAATCGCTTTTTCTAAATTTGGACTTGGATTAAGTCCTAGTTGGAATTAACCACTAAAGAATTCCCTGGCACAGATTAGGAAAGAAGGGGAAGAAGCAAATATTGTGGCAGATCAGCTAACTCAGAAACCTAAAAAATACCCAGACTAAGTACCCAAATGGGAGTTCATTCTCCAAGAGTTTTTCCAAACTTTTAGCAGCAAAACTCTTATCAAACAAAATCTTAAACAGAATTCTAAGATACAAAATAAGTAAAAATAGCCTTTTACTACAATATATTTATCACACAAGTCCATATTTTATAAAATTTGGGAATTAAAAAGGCAACAATAGGGAAAATGAGGTTATTTTTATCGACATTAAAGTTTGAATTTGGGTGTTATGGATGACTGCAGTTTTTATCACAATCCTCTTCTATTTTATTTCTGAAACATGTTTTAGCAGCACAGTAAGGAGAAAATTAAGTGGTTGTGAACGATAATCTGTTTTTGTTGTAATGGCATATTCAATAATCTCAGGATACTTCAATTAAGCTGATACAGCTTAAAAGATGCGTATTGGGAAATGTCTAACAATTGCTCACATTTCTCATTGCAGGGATAAAAGTCAGACACAGGCATACAAAACCCACAACAGAGGCTGGCCCATGGCCCAGTGGTTAAGTTTGTGTGCTCCGTATCGGTGGCCCACGGTTTTGCTGGTTCAGGTCCTGGGCGCCGACATGGCACCGCTCATCAAGCCATGCTGAGGCGGCATCCCACATGCCACAACTAGAAGGACCCACAGGTAAAAATATGCAACTATGTACCTGGGGGCTTTGGAGAGAAAAAGGAAAAATAAAATCTTAAAAAAAAAACCCACAACAACTTCTAATGCGTCATGAAGTACACCTCCACCATTTTTTGGTCCTGCTTTTGAATTGAGCCCAGTGAAGCTGCTTCTATCATTTTACACAAACATGCATCGACTTGAATTCAAGAAAAAACCAGCGCAGAGCTACAGCATTCCAAGTCAGTGAGGCATTTACAAGAAGTTGAAACATGGGCACTTGTCGTGTCAGTTTGGTAGAAAAATTTTGTCTACAGTTTGGTAGAGTTTGGTAGAAAATCTATTGGAAAGCTTGTGTGATGTGGTGGATTGGAAAAAAATAAAAGCTAATATCTCTTTATCAATTAATTCTGTATCAGACACCATGCAAAGTGCATAACATGGGTTATAGCTTGAATCATCAAAAAGACTTTGGGAGATATTATTCTTATTTTAAAGATGAAGAAACTGAAGTTTTTTGGTTTTTTGTTTTTGAGGAAGACTGGCCCTGAGCTAACATCCATGCCCATCTTCCTCTACCTTATATGTGGGATGCCTACCACAGCATGGCTTGCCAAGCGGTGCCATGTCCACACCCGGGATCCGGACCAGCAAATCACAGTCCTCCAAAGTGGAATGTGCGGACTTAACCACTGCACCACCAGGCCGGCCCGGAAACTGAAGTTTTGACCAGTTAAACATATCTTTCTTGAACCAGGTGGTACAGCCAGGTGATGACCTAGTTAAGTGGAATGAGCTTTTTGCTGTTGTCACTCTATATTACCTGGGAAACATTGGATTAATATCGCCAGTGGATCGTAGAGAATATTTGGCTGGAAAATATCATCACGGAGATTGGTACCTGTTGCTCAATGATGTGTGAGTGTGTCTGTAGCGTTTCTCTTGAATTCTGTTCTTTTACAACTTATTATTAGTGTGCCTGGCCCCATGACCTGCTATCTACTGTGGCTGCTCTAAAAGTAAGAAATAATAATTTCTCAGTTCTTGGGAGAGTTTTTTAACTTAGATAACCCAAAATTCTTACTCCTACACTTTGTCTTGGCCTGCATACCTGGGGAAAGGAGGCCGGGACCTGGATACTGCTCAGGACGGATCAGGTAACCTCTCTCTCAAACTGATCAGATGGAATGGAGAACACAGTGTGATTGCAGAAATCTCTTTTATGTGCGTGTTACTGATCTGGGTATGTTTATTGGGCCTTTTTGAAGGGAGCATCTGAGCTTGGGAGACCATGGGAAGCAATGGGTGTATTGCAGGGGGGGCTGGGATTTGAAGTCAGACTCCTTTGACCTTGAATCCTATTCTGTCATTCGCTAGCTGTGCAGTCCCAGACAAGTCCCTTTATCTCTCTAAGCCTCCATTTCATATATTTAAAATGATGTTAATACTTTATAAGATTGTGGCAAAGATTAGAGATAATGTATAAGAAGCCCCTAACACTGCCTGGCAAAGCAGTAAATGTTCAATAAATGTAGTTGTTATTGCTATTAATACAATAATACTTATGTTGTTAAAGCATCATTAGTCCCTAATCTATGGAAGATTATTTGGTACTGGGGAATAATCAAACAAAATAAATCAAAATAGTAATAATGATGTTGACTAAACAAACTGAGGAGAAGAGAATCAAGCTTCACATTTTTTACTGTTTCTGGGTGCAAATGTCTTTCCACAGAGAAAAGTGAGAACACATTCTTACCAGACCAATGATGGCTGCTCCAATCCCAATGAGAGGGCTGACAGAGATAATCACCAAGGTCAGCTTCCAGCCCTGGTAAAATCCCAGCAGGAATCCACAGATGCTTGTGGTCATGCGCTGAATGAAGATGGCCATTTGGTCGGCAATGGCATCATTGATCTTATTAACATCACTGGAAACAAGAGGCTTTGATCACTAAAACTGGACTTGGTCAATTCAAATGTCTTGCTGAGGAATCTCAATCTTTCCCTTCCAAACATTCCCATCTCTGTACTCCATTACCCTTGGGAAACATAGCCTCTCACATCTTAGAAAAGTTGCTGCAACTTGGGAAGTTATCAAGCCTCTCCCCTCATAGGCAAGTAAGTTTGTCTTTAACCCAGTTTTCCCAACTAATGTCCATTTAATGTTGTCAAAGCCTTTTGGAAACTACTTTATGCGTCTCATTCTTTCTTATAGCTGATTTCCTTTGTCCGTCTCGAAGGCCCTTCTTTCCTTCTTTATACGTGCCAAATTCTTTCAGCCTCAAGGTTCTCCTCACACGTCACCTAATTCATTAAACCCTATAAACGCCCCAGGAAGAACTAACATCTTTCTCCCTGTGTTCCCATAGCAATGTAATTAATCTGTATACGTGTGTGTGTATGTGTATGTATAAATTACTGCCGTCTGCTTAGGGGCAGTATAGAATAGTGGTTAAGAACACAACTCCAGAGCCAGACTCTGAATTTGAACACAAGCTCTCCTTAGGCAAATTACTCAACCTTCCTGTGCCTCAGTTTTCTCATCTGTAAAATGGGGATAATAACAGAACCTACCTCAAGGAATAGTAATGAGGATTAAATTGGTTAATATTTGTAAAGCATGTATCAGTGCCTGGCATATAGTAAGTAATTAATATGTGTTAGCTCTGATTATTTATTTACTTGCCCCTTTTATTCTTCCTTCTAGACTGTAAGTTCCTTGAGATCAGGAGTTCTGTCGTCTATCTTTGTGCCTTGTATAGGGTAAGTGCTTGAGAATATTGGTTGAATATAATTGCATTAAATTCATATTCCCAGCAACATTCTCATAATCTCTTGTCCAGCTGAAGCAAACAGGGCTTGGGTCTTGATAGCAAAAAAAGGACGTAAGACATCACCCAGAGATTAGAAAATTGTATTCTAGCAGGGTTAAGTATCTGTTCAAGGTCACAATAAATAAGGGACAGAATGAGAGCTGGAATGTAGGAGTCCCAACATTCGGTCTGCTTGTATTTTCACTGCACAGTCTTTCATGGGACCTCAAAGTTCAATTCAATAGGCTTCAACAGTTTCTAATTACTAAGGGCTCGTTCAGAATTAATGGGGGGCTATTAATAACCCAAACTAGTATTTAGGTGTAAACTGAACTTAAATCCAGTTTTCAGTTTGACTAGTTCTCAAACTATTTTGGATTTCTTTTTGTTTTTTGTGTGTGTGCAGAAATTGCCTCAACAGGCAAAGCAAGATAATTAGTTCTAATTGTATTGTTTTTCTTACAGACACGTAGATTGTGACATGTCTCAATTTCTTCTTTTGAGTCCAAACAACCCTATTTCTTTTAACTCTCTTCCATAATACTTCATTTCTAATATTTTAATAAGGAGCCTAGAAACCAAATTATAGTATCCTGGCGCTCAATTTTTAATGATCACATTTGATAAGACATTACCTATGAAAAAGCCATGCTACCTACAAAAGCCCAACTTAAGAGACAAAACATATCAAAAATAACTGAAAATGTGTTTCCAATTGTTATGTAATTTAGAAACAAGGATTTTATTATCAAAAAATCACACATACATTAAAACATCCTACTAGCTACTTACTCAGAAAATCTTGTGCTCAGCTCTCCCACTGAATTGCAGTCAAACCATCCTATTTCCATTCTCATTATTCTTCTAAAGTAAAATTTTCTTATTTTCTGTACCTGACGAGCTGCAGCAATTACCCAAAAGCATATCTGGAAACAGAGCAAGGACTGTTTAGCATCATGATGTAAAGAATATTCGTTAATTCCTTTTCTGTTTTCAGAAGAAAACATTTTCAGTAACAGTTGCAAAAAGGAGGAATGTAATTCACAAAATGCCTCTTCTTGAGATCTAAGTCTGAATTCTGGCATCTGCTACCAAAAGTGGAGGTGAGCAGAACAACTGTGAACAGGAAAGCCAGGAAATTTGGGTTTGAATTCAACTCTGACATGTTTAGACTTAACTTTATTGAGCTTCACTTTCCTCATGTGTAAAATAAGGCTCACAGAGCCAAAAAGTCAATTATTGCTCTTAAATCACTATTTTTCCATGCCACTTCTGAGTCAACTTTTGCCTTGGAAGGCGTGCCAACAAGTATCCATGCATAGTTTTCAGGCTGTTGGACAACGATTTTCAGAGAAGGTACAACAAAAATTATAACATATGCAGGGAATCGACTGAGAGTGTCCCCCAACCAAGCAAAATAAGCCTGTCGTTAAAACTCTCAAAGTCAGAACCGGAAAAATGGATTCATTTCTCTTTACAACTAACACTAACTTCCTGGAATTCTTGAATATATAGGGGTGGGAAGATTCATTATTTTTTCTATAGAGGAAGGAAAAAGATGAAATACTTTTCTTCCTTAATAAGGGTTAAGAAACTCCAAGCCTTTCCATGGCTTAAATCTAGAATATGCTCTAGATTCGGTTTACAGAATTGGGGTTGGACTCTAGCAACGTTTGGTGAGACATTAGCATTGAAAGAGGAAAAGAAAGTAAAGCTGGCTTTCCTCCAACCCCCCATGCCCTGCTTTCTCCAGGCTGCCCACTCTCCCTCTACAGACACGCCCACAGCTATTTCTGAGTTTAGGAGCAAGGATGAAGTCAGAGGGCAGGGAAGAACAGGATGTTGAAACTAAAAGTCTATTCTCCATCTCCCTAGACAGCTGCTGGTATCCTCCTCCCCTCACTGAGAGGAAGAACCTGTCCCATTCTCTCACGTTCCCCCTGGAATTAAACTGTAGTCCTTAGGGCTTCCGAATAATTTAAAAGTTAAAGAGTACCCTTTGGATTTCATTGTAGTGTCTTTGAACCCAGATGTTGATCTATAAATAAAATGGAAGTGCTACTAACTTGCATATATCCTGTGATAAGGACGGTGACAGCGACTACAGCATAATAACTGGCAAATCTGATCATTTCACTTTCAATGTTCAGCAACCTTCAAAAGAGGGGGAAAAAGGTTAAGACTCACAAGCAGGATCAAGCTACCAAAGATTATACTTGTGAGTACAGAAGAATTTAAAATATATGTATTATATATTTCTATTTAATATTGGTAAAGCATTTTATCTATGTCAAACTATAATCAATCCAACCAAATCCCTAAATAAACGTTATGGTACCAATCACAGCAAAGATGCTTACCTGCTTCATTTTTATAGGCAGAGGTTCTAAGGTTGTAAAATAATTAATTGGTGGTTGTTGGAAGCCGGGGGACCCTAGATGGCAGCCCAGTGCTCTGTCCACTCAGGCTCCTTTCACTCATGCTTGTTACGCAGTGCTAGAGCACTCATAGCCAGAGAAAGTTATTAAAAAGCCAGACAGGTGTCTGAAAAGACCCTGGTAGAGAGATGTGTGCTGTAAATCAGGGTGTTTACTGTTACCCGCTCTAGGAATCTAAACCAGCTTTTCAACTCCTCTATATCAGAGGGACACTGTGAGAAATGTGTGTCATCTTCCCACAGAGGGAGAAAAACACTTTATTAGCCCAGTCTTTCTGCTGATTGCAGCCCATGAAGCTTCATTCTCCAGGACAATTCCTAAGATTGAAGCCAAAGAGCTTGTGGGAAATAGCAAGAAAGCTCTACAGCATTTTTCCAGCACAACTATCACACTGCAGCCCAGGGTTTGGGATTGGCAGGGGCAGGGAGGGGAGGAATTATTCTGAAATTGTGATACCGACCCTGATATCAGTTTCCCCACATTAAACCCAGCATATATGGGGTTAAAACCAAAACACTCATTCCCTGCTTACTCTCTGCCTTCCTGGCTCCAGAATCCGCTATCCTCCATGGAGATAAACACCGTCAAGGACAAGCACCTGGACTATCTCCTCCCCACAAAGAGATAGGGGCTGGTGGGAAAGCTGCTGACCAGCAAGGTCACGGGCTCCCTCCTCTCTGCAAGTGTCTCAAGGCCAAAGACAGGCTGATGGGAAAGCTCCGACCAGCAAGGCCATATGCTCCCACTCCCGTACCTAAAACCCCAAATAAAAACCCTTCCTTTTAGGTTTTCGGGGAGTTTGGGATTTGAGCGTTAGCTGCCCTCTCTCCTTGCTCAGCGCTGTGCAAAAGTAAAATTCCTACTTTCTTCCACCACACCCGGTGTCAGAGATTGGCTTGCTGCGCAACGGGTGAGCAAACTCACTTCAGGTTCCGTAACAATTGCTTTCAGGAAATTAGGAATTTTGCATTTAGAAAATTAACATATTGGTTGATGAGAATTCTGCTCCTCGGGGACAAGCTAAATCATATAGAGTCCACTTCTTTAGCAAATCAGAAAGCAGCATCTTTAGCATAGATGTTCCCATCCTACGTGCTTCCTGCTCTCAGGCCTTCCTTTGTGACCCAAGCTTGAATTGTTCTCTCCCTCTGTTGAACTCAGACCAAATATTGAAGTATAATACAGAACAAGCTATTATTCCACAACAGATTTTATTGCCATCTTGCACTATTACTCAATATCTTTACTGAATATATTTTTATTGAGTATATTTATGTTTGTCTTGCTAGTAAATTGCAAGCTACTTGAGGGCAAGAGCTAGGTTTAAGCTGCTTACTCACACTGCCCGAATCCTAGTACAATACCTTACACACAGTAGGTACTGAAGAAATGTTTGTTGATTTTGCTTTGACTTTAAAAATATTAATGAGGAAGGGAAATAACTGCCTTGGTCAACCTCTCTGACAATCTCCAAACCAGCTTATACATCTGTGTTCACCACATTCCCAGCCTTTCATGATGATTCAGGGGACTCAGAGAATGAACAAGACCTAGAAAATCATACACTTATATATAAATATCCACAATCAGAGGCTCTTATAAGAGCTAAGTACCTCCACAGAGAGTGTATAATGTAATATTACCAGTAAAGCCTTCTAATATATAAAGTAGTCCATACTCTTTGTCTTCTGTTTGTGAAATGAAATTTGGGTGTCCCCAAAGGGAAAACTATGAGCGTTTATCAAAAAGTTTACTTAGATTTCCTGCAGTGCATTCATTCTACAGACACTCTAAGCAGAGGTGATAAAGCGTCTGTCACAAAAAACACAGCTGCCAGTTATGAACAAGCTTAGGCAGATCGAGAGTCCTTGGTACTCCCTTAACCCCTGGCTACCACTAAGCTGTTGTCTATTGCTATAGTTTTGTCATTTGAAAAATGTTATATAAATGGAATCGCATAATATACAACCTTTTGGGATTGGCATTTTTTCACTCAGCATAATTCTTTCAAGTTTCCTCCATAGTTTGCTCCTTTTTATTGTTAAGAAGTATTCCATGGTATAGATGTATGGCAGTTTGTTTAACCACTCACCCCTTGAAGGTTGTCCGGATTGTTTCTAGTTTTTGTCTATTACAAATAAAGCTTCTATAAACATTTGTGTACGGATTTTTATGTGAACATAAGTTTTCATTTTTCTGGGATAAATCTCCAAGAGTAGACTTGCTAGGTTGTACAGCAGTTCTATGTGTCATTTTTTTTAGAAACCTGCAAAACAGTTTTCCAGGGTGGCTGCACCATTTAACGTTCTCATCAGCAAGGTGTAAGTGATCCAGTTCCTCCGGGTCCTCACCAGCCTTTGGTGTCACCACTGCTTTTTGTTTTAGCCTTTCTGATAGATCTGTACTGATATCTCATTTTGATTTTAATTTGCATTCCCTAACAACTAACATTGCTGAACATTTTTTCCTGTGCTCATTTGCCATCTTTACTTCTTAGTGAAATACCTCTTCATGTATTTTTCCCATATTCTATTTGGAGTTTTTTAACCATTGAGTTTTGAGAGTTCTTTATACATTCTAGAGCCTAGTCCTTTGTTAGATATCTGATTTGTAAATATGTTCTCCCAGTCTGTAGCCTGTCTTTTCATCCTCTTAACAGTGTCCTTTTGCAGAGCAAAATTTTTAATTTTGATGATGTCTAATTTATTAATTCTTCCTTTTATGGATTGTGCTTTTGGTGTTAAGTCTAAGAGCTCTTTGTCTAGCCCTAGACCTGAAAATGATCTCCTACATATTTTTATAAAAGTTTACAGTTTATTTTTTACATTGAACTTCATAATTCATTTTGAGCTAATTTTTGTATAAGTTCCTTTTTTTCCCATGGATGTCCAGTTACTCCAGCACCATTTGATTAAAAATTTGTCTGTCCTCCATTGAATTGCTTTTCTACCTTTGTCAACAATCAGTTGGACATACTCCTGTAGGTCTATTCCTGAGTTCTCTATTGTGTTCCTCTGTCAATAATATACAACTTTATTACTGTAGCTATATAATATGTCTTGAAATTGGATAGTTTTTCCCTCAGACACTATTTTTTTTCAAAGTTGTTTTAGATATTCTAGTTCTTTTGCCTTTTCATATAAATTTTAGACTAATCTTGTGTACAGTTACAAAAAAATCATGCTGAGATTTTGATAGGAATTGTATTAAACCTGTATATCAATTTGGGGGATATCTTTACTATATCTTTATATCTTTATCTTTATTATAGTGAATCTTTACTATACTGATATCTTTACTATATTGAATCTTCCAATTCATTAACATGGTATGTCACCCCACTTATTTGTCTTCTCTGATTTCTTTCATCAGAATTTTGCAGTTTTCAGCATACAAGTCCTGTACATGTTTTGTTAGATTTACAGTTAAGTAAATTTTTTGAGCAATTGTAAATGGCATTATATTTTGAATTTTGGTGCCCACATGTTTATTGCTAATTTATAGAAATACTAGTGAATTTTGTACAGTCACTGACTTACAATGGTTTGACTTACGATTTTTCAACTTTATGATGGTGCAAAAGTGATATGCATTCAGTAGAAATCACACTTCGAATTTTGAATTTTGACCTTTTTCCAGCCTAGCGATATGCAATACATATCTCTTGTTTGTGATGCTGGGCAGTGGCAGCAAGCCACAGCTCCCAGTCAGCCATGCAACCAGGAGGGTAAACAACCAATACGCTTACAACCATTCTGTGCCCAGACAACCATTCTGTTTTTCACTATCAGTACAGTATTCAATAAATTACATAAGATATTCAACACTTTATTATAAAATAGGCTTTGTATTAGACAATTTTGCCCAACTGTAGGCTAATGTAAGTGATCCGAGCACGTTTGAAGGTAGGCCAGGCTAAGCTATGATGCTTGGTAGGTTAGGTGTATTAAACGCACTTTCAACTTAACGATATTTTCAACTTATGATGGGTTTATCAAGATGTAATGTGACCATAAATCAAGGAAGATCTGTTTGTTTATCTGGTATTTTATGTCCTTGCTGAACTCACTTATTGGTTCTAGGAGATTTTTGGAGATTCTTTGGGATTTTCTATGTCAACAACGTCATCTCCAATAGAGTTGGGTGCACTTCTTCCTTTTAGATCTCTATTCTCTTTTTTTGTTTTTGTATTTAAAAAAATTTTAATTTCAATAAAAAACACATAACATAAAATTTAGCAACTTTACCATTTTTAAGTGCACAGTTGAGCAGTAAGTATTAGATCAGTATTCCTTCTATTTCCTCTCCTTCCTTATTGTACAGGCTAGAACTTCGAGTGCTATGGTGAATTATAGTGGTGAGAGCATATATCTTTGCCGTGTTTATTTTCTGTTTTCTGTTTGTTTTCTCCCTTTTTTATTTCTCTGTTTCCTTTCTCCTGCTTTCTTGTGGGCTACTCAAACAGTTTTTAGAATTCAGTTTTGATTTATTTATAGTGTTTTCAAGTGTATCTCTTTGTATAGTTTTTTTTAGTGGTCCTCTAGGAATTGTATTATAGGCATATCACTTATCACAGTCTACTAGCATCGTCATTTTACCAGTTTGAACAAAGTATAGAAATGTTATCTCTCTTTACATACCTTTACTCTCCCCTGTTAATAATATAATTGTCTTTAATATTTCCAAATAAATCTCACATCAGACAATGTTATAAAA